ATCTTTTTCATCCAACTCCTCTTCTTACCTATTCCTTGATTCAGTGATTACCTTTGACCTCATAATCTGATGCCTGCTTCCCTAACCAGTGACCCTAACATTTTCTGCAGAACACAACAGGCTTTGTTTTCATGCTGTTTGTGTTAATGAGGGGCTTGTACTGAGCAACTCCATTGAGGTCCCTCATGGGGACAGGAAGCAGCAAAGGAATACACACATAAGCTGAAGAAAAAAAGGAACTGAGACCTGGACTAATCAGAACCCTGGTCTGGGCAGGCTTCTGGAAGGCCTCTTCTTGGCAGGGAGATTTGGAAAGCTTCCTGAGGTCTCCGAGCCTGGGATGTGGGACAGATTGGAGCTGAAGACTAGGGCAGATTGCTTCGTTTTGTTTCTGGCCCATGAACCTCCCTTAGCTAAGAACTAAAGGTTCCCCATACGGATATTATCAACTACATAGGACTTTGAATATGATCTGCTTTCTAGAGTTTATTCTAAATTTACTACAGATGTTTGGTATCTTGCAAAGTCTGAGTACCTGGAACTTTTGTCTCTCCCCGGATTGTGCCTTCTCCAGGGAAGGTTAAGAATTCGGGTTTTAGTTAAGTGTGAACAATACTTGAAGTCCTTGGGCCAGACTGAGTTGGAGAGAAGACCCCAGTGTCTTGTGGTTTCCACCCAGGCTCTCTTTCTCCACAATGCAGGGGCGGCTTAACCTTCTGAGCTAAGCTGGAATTGCTGCTGATTCTGGTTTAGACAGTTATTCTAGAACAGTGACTAAAAATATACTGGCCAATATAAACATCATGCTTACTGCAGAAATAAAAGATAATATTTCACCCTTTGAAGATGACCTAATTACATTGTACTGGGCGTCTATTCCCTATTTTCTCTCAGTCTCTATTCCCATAGGTTGGTGGTATTTGCACAAAACCAGTACAGTCTTTCTGGGGATAATTGGCAGTAGGTTTTAAAATGTCCATACCCTTTGAATAATTTAATGTACAAGAAATCACCAACATTTTGCCTGCTGAATTAAGAGATGATCATTCCAGTTTCTCAGCCAGCAAGATACATTATCAATCATCTGTGAGGCAAAACTCTGCAGATCATCAAAAATATACAAGGTAGATATGTGTCTTTAAACACAAAAGGGTATTCTTGATATCCTATTGCATAAATAAACCAGGTTTGCAATGATAAATGCCATACATGTGTACAAGAAAATACACTAATATATAGAAGAAATACCTGAAAGGAGGGCCAAAAATAATGATTCCAGGGTAGTGTAATTAATAGTGGTTAAGAATTTTTTAAATAATGAACAAGTATTATTTATGAAGAAGAAAGTTACTTAGCATTGAAACTGGCCTGTGAGGTTCCAGGGGTCTGGTGACATGGGACCTGGTGTGTGTGTGTCTGTGTGTGTGTATGTGTGTGTGCGCACATGCATGTTGCAGGGACACGGGCACTGATAGCCATTGCTGACCCAGACAGAAAGATGTGAGTGTGAGGGACTCGGGTGGGGCAAGCATTAGGAGAACCTGTAGACTTGGGACATAATGTTCTGGGTTACAGAATTTTAAAAACTTTTTATCAGTCCATGCTTGCAGTGCATAACGATCACATTCCTTGTGGGAATCAGTGCGTGCACATAACACTCTTAAATCCTCTTCCCCGCCCTCCCTTCATGTCTAGGTACCCTTCCCCTTTGCAAAAGATCTGTCTCCCTGTACCCTCTTATCTATCTTTTGTTTTGCTCTTCAAATTATTAATACTTTGGGTTTCTGCTATTTAAAAAATCATACAATATTTAAGCTTGTGTGTCCAATTTATTTCATTAACATTATGGTTTCGGGGTGCATCCATTTTCCTACAAGTGGCTCAGATTTATCCTTCTTTACGGCAGTGTAGTGCTCCACTGTGTATAAATATAACATGTATTACCTTGCTCTTTTGACTTTAGAAAAAATCCATTTTAATTGTGTCTTAGTTACTTTTCTTGTTGCTGAGACAAAACACCATAGCAAATTATTTTATTAAATAATAAATATAAAGAAGAACAGAACCCTTACAAGATAAGGGTAATGGGCAGAAAATGCCCATGCACAGAAATTCAGTGTCTCAAATATGGAGCATGGGCATGAATCCTGTCGGGGTCCCTATAGGGCCCCCTGTCCCTACCCCCTTCCTCAGAGAAAACCATGGTTCTGTATTTTGTATCACTGCCTTGTTTTTCTTTAGAATTTTTTCCTAACTTTACTTAGTTTGCATTTGGGGAGCTTCATGTAATTGGAATTATACTTTATTGTTCTTAACTTGCATTTTTCCTTCAGTATCTTACTTCTGGGCTACATCCTGTAGTGTCAGTAGCTGTTGTCCACTCAGCTGTTGAAAGCCTATGTCGGGTGAATGCACCACGCCATACATAAGCAATGCCCTGTCTATGAAAGGTTTCATTAATGTGCTGTGGCCCTCATGTGTAATATCTGATGCTTATGTGGAATATCTTGAGAAAATACCTAGGTGTGGTATTGTTGCATTGTAGGGTATGTGAAAGTTCATGTCTGTTTCCAGCTTTAATAGATAATGCTAAATTAGTTTCCAAAAGGTTTAAATTTATATTCTTGATAGCAGTGTAGGAACATCTGGGTCTTCCATGTAGGTGCCAACATTTAACGATGTCAGTGTGAAGCTTTTCATTTGCAGTGAGTGAAAAACAATTCCATTTGTGTTTCCCTGCATATCAGTGAAGTTGGGCAGATTTTCTTTAACCATTTGTGATTTCTTTTTTCCTACAAAGAATCTGTTTGGATCCTTTCGGTCATTTTTCTGTTGAATTATTTCTGTTTTTAAAATTGGTTTGTAGAAATTCCATATATTCTAGGAAGAAATCTTTCATAATTGTGCACATGACAGGTACCTTCCCATTGGTGGCTTGTCTTCACTGCCTTGGCATGAGGAAGAGACCTTCTTCTCTTACCAACCCTTCTTCCCACAGTCTGCCATTTTGTGTTTTAAGATGCCCCTTCTACCCAGAGGTTCATAATTGTAAACTGGGTTGTCTTCTAAAATGCTCATGGCTTTGTCCCAGTGAATGGTGTGAAATTGTCTGAATCATTTTTACTATACAGAACTGTTTATTTGAGGACCTTTTATTAGAAGGCCTTCCTTTCTCCACGATGTATAAGTGCCAGCTCTGTCACAAATCAGGTCATAAGTGGGGTTTCCACATGTGTTGGCCCTGAAGACCCAACGTCCATGAGTCAGCCAGACGCCAAGGGCCCTCCCCAGGAACCTCAGATTTTAGGGTAGAAGGCGCCTTTCTCACATTACAATGTAGGGTTTTTTGTTTGTTTGTTTTTTGTATCTGCAGTCTGCATGTACTGAATACCATCCATGTGTCAGACATAAAGTAAGAGTTTGCCTCTGTAGGGAACTTAGAAAAAGTTCAATATAGTAAGATACCTAGGATGGTGAAAGGCAAACAAATACTCGAGGAGGAGACTTAAAAATAGAACATTACGACAGCATCAGAGCTGGTTTGGGGCTGGAAGCTGATGACATTTCAAGCCGAGAGGCTAGAGCAGTCTTTCCGAGAAGGTAGTATCTGGATAAGAATCTTGGCATTGAAGACACTGTCCATGTGGATAGCCAGGAGAAAAGCCTTCGGCAAAACAGCACGGAAAAAGGATTCTGGAAACAAAGATGAGCGCTGGACATTACTTGGCCAGCATTTACTAGCCTTCATGTCCCTGGGCCGTGGCTGGCTGAGCTGGAATTCGGGATCTGGGAGGTGGAGAGGGTGAGGATGGACTCGAAGGAGGACAGGGACTCAGAGGTCTCAGGAGCAGACGTGGCCGAGTGAGTGGAGAGCAGCCCCAGGGCGCCAGGGTTACTGAAGCACAGGGAGCCGGGCGGCGGCCGGTCTCCGGGGCCTGGTCCTGCCCAGGGCGTGCCGGTCCGCACAGGCTGGGCGGGCACCGCAGGCGTCCAGTCAGTGACAGTGCAGGATCCTGGCGCTGTGGTTTCAAGGAGCCAGACGCTCCCAGGCCCCCTTCCGCCGGAATGGTTTGCCCAAGGTGTTTCCACCCAGCTGAGCTGCTGGGCTCCTAGTCTTAGCCCCAAGGGGAAGAATCTTCTTTAAATTCCGGTCTGCACTCAAGTCGTGTGCGGTCAGGTGACGAGCTCACTTCCGGGCTCGCCTGGGGTCCGATCTTCTCGGGAGGGTTTTTCCTGTCCTCTCAGAGCTGGGTTTCAAGAGAGGCCACCTGCCTTGCAGATGCGGTGGGGAGGCCATGCATCCACTTCCACTTCACCTGACTCTCGGGCAGATTTACACGGGGATCTCCACTGAACTCTTCTCTGTGGGCGGCCGTGGGCTTTGCTCTCTGCCCTGTACCCCAAGAACCTGTGAGAAGCAAGTGACCCTGGAATCTACCTGTGCGACGCAGGTCACCACCCAGGAAAGCTTGTTTTGTGTACATCTCCAGGTGCCCTGCTTTTCACTTAGTTCTTGGCTTCTGAGTGTTCTTTGCTTTGCCTATAGCTCATCTCCCACTTAAGAAGTTTTATTTCTTTTCTGGAATTTTTCGTTGTCTTTCAGTGGGTATCTAGTCGCCAGGCAATGTAACAAAAGCTGGCTAAAGTCATTTTTAAAACTGCATTACTCTGCTTTCCCGTTGTTGGACACAGTGTCTGACACCCACAACCTACAGGCTGAGAGGTTTAATTTGCTCACGGTTTCAATCTATGGTCACTGGTTCTGAGGCGGAAGGAGGTGGCGGAGCAGAGCTGCTCAGGTCATGGCGGCCCAGCAGCAGAGCAGCGGAGCAGGGCTAGAAGGGAAGGGACGGGAGGAGACAGACCCAGGCCAGGCTCCGTGACCCCCTGCACATGCCCAGCAGTGAGCTCCTCCCATCCCCAGGGCAGATCCCAAAGCCACCAGGCCCAAGCTCCACCCAGACCCACAAAAGCATGATGTGTCACCGCTTTTCCTAAAGGTCTGCTGGAGACAGAGCCGCTGCAAGGAAGAGATGAGGATGCAGCAGCCAGCGCTGACTTCTCTAGGGTGCTGTCCGAGGAGGAGAGGGAGGAGTTAAAGGCAGAATTAGTTCAGGTATGTTTAGTACTCTTCTCGCTGCTGCTTCTGTCTTTGGACCTTGAGTGTTTTCACTAGCTTGATACAGGTCCCATATTGTAATTATGTTGTCTTTCACTTAACAAAATGTAATAAATAATACACTGCAAGATGAGTCAACTTTTTGAGAGTATTTTTGCAATAGTAATTGTTCACTACCTGTTAGTTACAGTGGTAAAATGAATATTTGTGCTGCTTAATCAACAATAAGCATGTGGAAACATGCTCTTTTTAGTATCAGAACACTGTGCGACTGATAAATCATTTACAAACCCAATGGAATTTGTTTAGAAACATGGCATATGTGCAAGGACCTTATTAAGAGGAGTCTTGCCAGGCATGTGACACATACCTGTATTCCCAGCTGCTTGGGAGGCTGAAGCAGGAGGATCCCAAATCCAAGGCCATCTTAGGCAACTTAGTGAGGCCCTGTCTCAAACTTTAAAAATGAAAGAGACTGGGGATATAGCTCAGTGCTCCTGGTTCCATCCCCAGTACTGAAAACACAAAGCAAAACAGAAAAGAGCGACTCTTGTTTTAGGTAAACAACGTAGCTGAACAAGTTCTTTGAAGTGATTTTCTTTTTTTAATGAAAAATCAACCATGGAAGCAACTGAACTGACTGTTGTGCATTCAAACAAGGCTCTGGGGCAAGAGGAAACTGTATTGAACTGAAGCTTACTCTGACTGGTGTGTGCTGTGGGGATGTGGGCTGGATTCATCAAAGGTCTGCAGCACCCTCCGCCCTGAGGCGGGCGCCCGCTTGTCCCTGGCTCTCACCAGAAGCAGGGCTCTGCCTTTCTGCTCTGACCTTTCCACAGGCTTGGGATGCAGCCTGGGGCTCCACACACCCTGTCCTCTGCCCACCGTGTTCTTCAGGTGCAGCCAGGCCGGGTGAGGCACACGGGTAACCCAACACTCAGGGAAGCTGATGCAGGAGACCTTCGAGTTTGGGCCCAGCTGGGGAAACTTGGGGACTTAACAAGACCCTGTCACAAAAAAAAAGAATAAAAAGTCTTGAGGATGTAGCTCAGTACACAGGCCCTGGATTCAATCCCTGTACAAAAAAAAAAAAAGAAAGAAAGAAAAGAAACAAAAAGGAAAAAGACTTTTCAGGTTCTTTTAAGATACACCCTGAAATAATGTCATTTAAAGTTGCTTTTAAGTTTTATTTTTGATTGACACGTAACAGCTGCCCATAGTTATGGGGTTCAGTGTGAAGAGTTCATGCATGTGTCCACGGTGGTGATTAAGTCAGTGTGGTCAGCATATAAAACATAAAACCCTCTCTTAGTTATTCTGAAATGTATGATACAGCACTGCTAACCCTGGCCACTGCACTGTGAGTGGAACGGCGGACCCTGTTCTTCCTGTCAAACTGCAGCTTCGTGCCCATTGACCAGTCTCTCCCTTCTCTTCTCTGCCCCAGGTAACCCTGTCCTTTCTGGACTTCCACTTTCTGAACTTTTCAGGTTTCCCAAATGAGTGATCTCATGCAGTAATTGTCTTTCTATGCCTGGCTTTAAAATACTCTTATTTATTTTTTGATTTTGTTGGGTCAGGTCTGATCTGGTCTGGTCTGGTTTGGTTTTTTGAGACAGGGTCTCACTATGTATTCCAGGATGGCCTTGAAGTCACTATGTAACCCAAGCTGGCCTGGAATTTATGGCAATCCTCCTGCCTCAGCCTCCTGCATGTTGGGATTACAGATGTCCACCATCATGCCTTGCACAAAATTTTACTTTGAAATAAAGAAGCAGCTTATTCTCTGGTACAACTGGAAATGACTACAGTAAGCACAGTGCCTCCAATCCAAGGCCCTGTGTCTAGCTGGAAGTGCCTGTGGCCACTGCTGAGTCACCCATAAAATGCCCAGACCCAAGTCAGCCTCAGCAGACAGAGCAAGTGCACATTTTTTTACAGCCCCAAATCCACATCAACTGTGGTGTCCGAAAACCGAGTTCTGGAGGCAGGTATAAGCTGACGCCCTGCACTCAAACTTCACTCCTCCCTGGGAGACTTCAGTTCAGTGTGTGCACACACAGCCTCTGCAGCAGACAAGCTGCTGGAGAAGGCCTTGCTGAGGAGCATGGGTTACTTTTATAATCAAGAAAAGCTTCGCATTGGTTTTAAATGAATGCCCCATAAATATTTAAAGTGTTGTCAGAAATTCTCGTCTTTTCTGGCCAGCAATAAGCTTCCAGCAAGTTTCATTTCTAAGCTGTTTGGAGCCTGACTTCTGATACTGGGTTCAAGAGCCCGGGATGGGTGTGGTTGCCCTTCAGAGTGCGCTGCCTTCCAAGCCTTCTCTCTTCTTTCCGGTTCTTCAGAGATGAAGAAGCGCAACATCATGACTTCCAGCGCTTGGGCCCGACCCTCTGTCCCAGGGCCTGTGAGGAGCAAAGCGAGCTCTCTGCAGTTCTTCCTCTTCTTATTTCCATGTCTTTCGCTCGCTCTCAGGCCCTCTGCTTTATGCTTGCTCTTTCCCTACATCTGCTTTCCTTGCTGTTTCATGAGCTCGTGCACACGTGCAGGTGTGCAGCAGACCGATCCCCTGACCGTGGGACGCCCTGAGCCGTGGGGGGGGGGCTCCCCCAGCCAAGAACACGTGAGACACCTTGAGGTGCTCGGTTCTCTGTGCACACTCTGCCAGGACCCTTGGTCACAGCGAAGATGCCACTGGGTCCACCCGCCACCCGAGGGCCTGGATGCCTCCACCAGCCTCCCTAACACCTCCCTTCACCCGGGCACCAAGGTGTGGCTGCCCCCGAAGCCAGCCTGAGCGTCTGAGGCTTCCTGTCTCTGGCTGCTTTGCCGGACAGGGCTCTGCGTGAACCACACACCAGGCTGTCTTTGGTCTGCACCTCACCCTGGATCCCTCACCCCTCCTGTCCCTGAGAGTCCCTGTCCCTCCGGGCGATCTCATGACTCCATTCACATACCCAGCCAATGTATACCACACACACGAAAGCTCTATAAAGACTTCTTTTGGCATAATATAGCCAACAGTGTCAAAAAGGCAGATGGATTCTGCATTTGTTTCCTTTGGTTTTTTGAGACACGGTCTCACTATGTAATTCAGGCTGACCTGGAACTCACTTTGTAGCCCAGGCTGGCCTCAGACTCACAGCGATCCTCTTGCCTCGGCCTCCCTGAGTGCTGAGATTACAAGCATGTGCCAACATGCCTGGGTGGATTCAGCATTTTAAGAGAGAAATCTCTTTCAGTGCAATGTGAGCTTTAATTTGTTACTGTGGCCAAACTGTGGCTGTATGCCTCGAGGCCCCTTGGATGGGAGGCCAAGACTAGCTCTGACCGCTGCAGCAGGTGTCCATAGAAGTGTCCAATTAGCTTGAATTATTTTACAGCTTAAACAAAGGCTTCTATTTGCTAATACCGAAAGTAGAATATGTTTTACAACCCTTATCAATCTCTCAGGAAGTACTGTTTTATTTCAGAAAGTGTTCTATCTCACTCCCAGCTGCCTTTCTGAAATCTTTAAACAACTAATTCTCTCTGTCTCTCTTTCTCTCTCTCTCTCTCTCTGCCTCTCTCTCTCTGTCTTGGTAATGAGGGTCAAAGCCAAAGTCTCTACACGACTCTACCATTGAGCTACATCCCCAGCCCTTTTTATTTGTTTAATTTTTAAAAATAAGTTTTATTTTATTTTGTCCCATTTCCCCCCTCAAGCCCCCTCCCCTCCCTGTGTACAAAAGCTTTGCTTGCATTTCTCTTCTATTTTCACATCCCTTCCTTCCTTTCTTCCAGCCCTTTTTATTTTATTTAGAGATAGGCTATTGCTAAGTTAACTGTACAGGATTTGAACTTGTGGTCCTCCTGCCTCAGTTTCCCTCATTGTGGGGATTATAGATGGGCACCACCGTACCTGGCTCTATCTCTCTTCCCTAAATAGCCCTGAGCACTAGCTCTATATCCCTGCCATCACACTCCGAATTCCCCTTTACTGAGCTGCATTCTGTGCTTGGCGTTTCGTAGCTGCCTTGGCTTTGCAGTGGATGAAGCATTGGTTTTAGTGCTGTCACTCTGTGATTACATAACAGTCAAATCCTGCCAATGTCTCCTAGATAAAGTGACTCAGGAGAAATAGGTATTAATAGGAGTCGGAAAAATAGCAGACGGCGGCGTTATCAAGTAGGCAGTCTCTTCACACCCTGCTTTGGACGCTTCTCTCTTTGGGGGCGTTGGTCCCCAAGAACACACAGTGCCTCCACAGCATGCTCCTGTTCTGTCCGCCCTCCGCTCAGAGGCCTGGGGGCTGGGCCTTGGCTCTCCTGGCTGGGCTGGCAAACAGCTCTCTCGTAACTGGGAGTCCTCACCACCGGCCTCCCACAGGCCTTGGGGTTCCATTTCGGATCTGGGGATCTGCACCCAAAGGAGCCACTCAAAGGAGCAGGCCTTAAAGCTAATCATCACCTCCATGATTAAGAGAGGATCAAAGCATTTTTTCTTCTGTTTTGTTATAATTTCATGTAATCTAACAGATAGGTTAGAAAAATAAATTTTCAATCTTAAAACATAAATTTTATAATGAAGTGAATTCATTACCCAAGTCAGCTTAATTAATTCACTTTTTAGCATCCTTATCAAGGTAAATTTATATCACATGAAATTAACCATTTCCAAGTGAACAAACTCAGCATGCTGTCTAACGGCTACTTCAGTCGCTCTGAAACACTTCCCTGAAAGAAAACCACATCCCTGAGAAAGTCCCTCTCCGTTCCCTCCCCAGTCTCTGACACTGCCGACCTGTGCCCTCTCTGAGGAGTCACTTTTCCTGAAAATTCCATATAAATGGAATCGTCTAGCGGGGAGCCTGTCCCCGTGTGTCTGGCTGCTCTCACTCGGCCTCGTGTTTTCGAGTTTCATCACGTTGCAGCACCTGTGGAGACTCCATGTCTATCTATGGCCGACAAGATCGGGTGCATTCGGGTGGCTGTGGCTGAATGATGTACTTTAGGAATGTCCTACAGTTGTTGATCTCTTCCTTCCGTGGGCCTCTGGGCTCTTTCCTCTCCTCTGCTGTGAACACAGCTGCTGTGAGCATGTGCATGCGACTGGCTTGAGAGCCACTTCTTGCTGCCTCGGGGCATACGCTTAGGACCAGAACTCCTGAGTCATGTGCTGATTCTCCGTTTGTGTTCTTTTTTGAGAAACCACCAGGCTGTGCTCCACAGTGGCTGAACCGTGTGACACCCCCAGCAGTGAACAAGGGTTTCACTTCCTCCACATCTGCACCAACACTTGATATTTCCTATCATTTATACTTCAATAATCATGTTTAAATGCCTGATGTGAGCATAAATATATATCAAACAAGATCTTCTAGGAATGCCAGAATCCAAAGAGCTGTGCTTTTACTGAAGAAAAAATTAATTTTCAATGAAAAGAGAAAAATATTCCAATCCATATGATTTATCTGCACTACATCTCATTCCAAATTTGGTGTGGCTGACGGAAGTACTTATAATGTAGAATTTGCATGCTACCTGCATACAAATATCAGGGGGTGCCCATTAAATAACAGAAGTTCTCTGAACCTACCAAATTTAAATCATCACAATCTTGGGGCACAAACCTGGGATTCTCCATTTGAGACGTCATCTCTGGTCGTCTCTTTTGTAAGGTGAAGTGGAGAACACTGGCGTGACTGCACGCAGAACATCTCCTGGCCAAATGGGAACTGGATTTCACCGTCATCATCACTAACGTACCTGCCTCAAAGACCACGCTGCTGTGGCAGGACCCTGCGGGACACAGTGCTTGCCCATCTCAAATCTTAGAACTTCACATAATTTAAAATTGTATTTCTAACTTCTGAGGCATTTTAAAGATTTTTGGCAACTATTGAAGTCTCTGATAAAAAAGGCTAGAAGCTTTGAGAGTGTCTTATACTTGATTGAAATGGATAGAATTTCATTCTAGAACCTGAGAAAAACAGAACCACGTAAGTACTGGAGTTCACATCGGCATCCCTAAAGGGCTGTTTCCCACATGTGCCACCTATCCCATACCCGCATTTTAGAATTAGTAGGTGTGGGGATTGGTGTTTCTTTCTTTAGGATCTTGTTTGGAAACTAGTCACTTCCATGTTTCTGTCACTTTTGCAAGCAAGATTCCATTAAAAGTTTATTGACAATTCAATCCTCTGCTCACACTCTCTGCTCCCCAGGTAAATAATAAATAGTCCAGTGCTCCCCATAACTGAATTGGGGGTTCTGTGGATAAGAGGTTGAAATGTATAAAATATATGAAACATTTCAGCTTCTTTCTCCTTTCCTACATCAGTAATTTATTTCTGTAAGTTAAAATTTCCCCAATTATTTTTATTGTACAGTAGATACTACACCAATACCCAGTGTACCAAAAAACAAAACAAAAAGAAATAAAAACCAGACTCACAGTAGTTTCAGTCTAAGTGAATAAAAAGCAGAAAAGGTCTTTCTAACTGATAATTAAAGGTGGCATGAAACCCAAGCATTTTCTGTGGTCAAAAAGCAAGAGATACGATGATGAGAAATATCAGGCAGCAGATGAAATGCAGGAGAACACATTGACAAAGCTGAAAAAATGAAATGTGACATAGAAACAAAATCTGAAGGGGCTCAATTTTCAGCTAACAGTGTTCTCATGTAATGCGGGGAACAAAAGCCTATTTCCTCGGTGGCCTTGGGTATACTCATTTTGCAGTTATCAGCTTAAGTGTGCCAGCCAAGCATTCTCGCTCATCGAGACAGGTGGAGTTCTAGTGGTCACATGAGCTGGGGAACACGTAACTCATTCTGTACTTTAGAAGGGTTTCCAAGAATATATAAAATGATGTTCCATGAACAGAAAGAAGTGGGTTATGTTAAATTGTCAGCACATTCTGCTGGTGTTAGAAAGCCCAAGATATTGTTTTCTTCTACTGTGGTATTTGAGATTCTTCTAATTCAGTACTTTGTCTCTTTTGCTGAAATCTTTCTGAAGATTCACAGCTGTGGATGCAGCTCAATGACAGAGCATGTGCTTAGCATGCATTAGGCCTTGGGTTCAATCCCCAGCATTCAAGCAGTAAAAGAAAGAAGAAAAAGGGAGGGAGGGAGGCAGAGAGAGAAAGAGAGAGGGAGGGGGAGAGAGAGAGAGGGAGAGAGAGGGAGAAAAGAGAGTCACATCACAATCCCTGCTATTCACCACTGGGTCAAAATCTCCTCGTACTAGTAAAAAGACTCCATTAGTTGGGGTTCACTAGAGGAACAGATTTAATAGAAAATACATGTGTGGCTATACAAGGACTTACTAGGTAGGCCTTCAGAATGGAAAGTAGAAGAGTCTCGGTGGCCAGAGGTGGAGGAAGGCAAAATGGGCACTGGAGAGTGGGAGGATCCAGCTGAAGGTCAAAGGCCTGGAGCTCACTGCAGAGTCTTTTGTGGGTTTGTGTTGGAAAGCCAGAGGGTCTGCACTGGAAGATTGAAGAAACAGCAGACCAAGGTCCAAAGCCAATAGCAAAGACCCAAGCTCCTCTGAAGAGAGTGGGCACATGTCCATCCTTCTTCTTTCCCTTTTTAGCCCATCCAGGCTCCAAGCCTATTGGTTGGTGCCACCCACATCCGGGGTGGGTCTTCCCTCCTCAGTTTGCTAGGCTACCTGTCTATCATCCACAGACACACCCAGAGTTTACATCTGCTAGCTGGTTCTCACTCTAGTTGAAATGTCATAATTAATGATCACAATGATTTTTTTTTTTTTGCAAAGCCACACATTGTTTTTCAATATCAACTGATTTGAGGACAGAAGAAGCACATTTGAAACATGACCGGCAGAGTTTATGGTACATGATTCCTCTTCCTTTTTAAAAAATAGAAATCTAGAAAAGTAGCAAAATTTTATGAACTTTGTGCATGTGAGCACATAGGTCAAGGTTCTAAGGGCTTCTACTGATTTTGTACTCTGGTTTGATAAAGAAAAGTCCTAAGTGTTTCTGCTTTTCCAAAAGCAGAGAGGGGAGTGTAAGCATGATTACCAGGATGATACAGAGTGCATCCATACAAACCCTGTAAGGTATGATAGCCGATTGAAATCAGACTGAGAGGACTAAGATGTTTTTACAGGATAGAACAACACTCTCTAAACCTGGGTATTCCACACACTTCCTTTGTTAGAAATTACATGTAGAAGAGCATCTTTTTCAGTACTGGAGGTTGAACCCACAGGCCCTATAATCCCCAGACTTTTTGTAAATTTTTAAATTTTGGACAGGGTCTCCCTAACTTGCCCAGGCCAGGCTTGAACCTGTGACCCTCCTGCCTTACCCTTGCAAGAAGCTGGGATTACAAGCATGTGCTATCATGCCTGCCTGCAAGAGCTTTTAGATTCGGTGAAAAGGTAATACTAAAGAACTCTGCTTTCCTGCAGCAGGGAGGAAAGAAGAAATCTATCTATACAGATCCTTGTGCAGGAACATTCATAGCAGTCTTATTTGTAGGAACCAAACCTAGATGTCCTTCAGCAATAAACCGTGGTAAATACACACTGTGGAATATTACTCTGCAATGAAACAAAACATTCTTGGCTGCCTGGTAAGGGCAGGCATCAGGAAGAGGAAAGGAGGAGGAGAAAGAGTTACAGGGCACAACTAGGAGGGCACAGATGTGTACACTGCCTTTATTATGACGGTGGCTATCGAGGCCGGTTCGTATGTGAAGGCTAAAAAACAGCACACCTCAACATGTGTGGGTTGTTGTAAGTCAGCCAAGAGTCAACACATCTGCTAGAGAAGAAGCCCAGCCCACTTGTGTTCGTCCCTCCCCACCACTCCCTTCTTAAAGCACTGGGTCGGAAAGAAACACAATGTCAGGTAAATGTATGGGTCTCCCAGGACAGGTATGTGTGGCTGGCAAAGAAGAACCACACGCAAAGGAATTGTTTCATCAAATAAGAGGTATGCTGCAAAACCAATTTTGGTTCAAAAATTATTTTATGTACAACTTTAGAAAAGAAGTTGGGAGAGCAAGAAACCAAAAGAATAATTGGTGGCTCTTTTCTAATTGGCTACAAGGGACTTTTATTTTCTCATTTTTTTTTTTTTTGGTTTGTCTTTGTTTGGGGGTATTTTTAAAAAATGTGTATGTGTGTGTGTGTGTGTGTGTGTGTGTGTGTGAGACACAGTCTCACTCTGTAGGCCAGGCCTTGAACTCACTATGTAGCCCAGGCTGGACTTGAACTTGCAACAAACCTCCTGCCTCAGCCTCCCAAGTGCTGGGATTACAGGTATGCACCACCACACCCAGCTGTTTTCTTGTTTATATTTTGCTGTGCAATTTGAATTTTTAACAAGGAGCACTGGTTACTTTCTAATCACTAGAAAAAAGTCCATTCTGTTTCTAGTTCAAACATCGGGCTATCTTCTGTGTAGCCCATTTCCAGGCTGGCCTGGCAGGCAACTGTGAACACCAAGTAGTGCACAGTTGGCTTGGAAGAGTTCTTTCCATTGTAGCTCTGATGTTTCTCTCCCCGTTCCCTCCCACCTGCAGCTGGAAGAGGAAATCACAACACTGCGGCAAGTGCTGTCGGCCAAGGAGAGGCACCTGGTGGAGATCAGACAGAAGCTAGGCGTGAGCCTGATGAACGAGCTGAAGCAGAACTTCAGCCGGAGCTGGCATGACATGCAGACCACGGCTGCGTGAGTAGGCTGGGCTTGTTAGGCAGTTAGGTTGTTTGCACCTTGACCTTTCCAGAGGTTTCTGCTTGTTTTCTTCCAAGGCCAATTTGGTGCTTGTGGCTAGGAAAAAAATACTTTCTCCAAAACTAAATAAAAAGATATGAATAATCACGGCTTATGTTGCACTATAAAGGATATTCATATCTGGGTACAGTGGCCACATCTGTAATCCCAGCTTTCTGGGAGGCTGAGGCAAGAGGATCACAAAATTCAAACCCAGCCTGGGCAATTTAGCAACTTAGCGAAACCCTGTTTCAAAATAAAAAGGGTAACAGGGCTCAGGATGTAGCTCAGAGAGAAGCCCCTATGTTAAGTTTGTAGTACTGCAAAATAAATAAATATAGGAGCTTCATAAAATAAAACTGTTGAATGAAATTAAATTCCACCCCACCAACTGTCATGAAATGTACACTTTAAATGTCTTTCTCTCCATTTTATGTTTTAAGATATTGTTAAATACACATTTTTCTTCACTTTTTCTCATAAAATTCTAAGTGGGCACCTTGTTTTAGGTCAGGTATGAAAAACTTTGGTATCTTAGTTACTTTTTTCACTGCTGAGACAAAATAACTGACAGCCAAAGTTAAAGGAGCAAGGGTTTATTTGGCTCACAGTTTGTAGAGATTTCAGTCCATAGTTGACTGGCTCCAATGCAGGGCAGCATGGCAGAGAGGCGTGAAGAGATGAAACAGTCCATGGAAGGGTAGACAGGAAGGCAGCTGCAGCAGCAGCAAGCCTGCCTGTCCCTCTATATTCCATCTAGGCTACAAGCCTCTTGATTGGTGCCACCTATATGCAGGGTGGGGCTTCCATTATCCACACCCTTAACCCCAGTATCACACCTTAATCCACATTCACACACCAGGCGTCTATGAAACTCCACACCTATGACCCCACGAGGCTTTAGGGGCCCATCTAGACACAAGCCATAATGCTCAGATTCTCTGGACTCGTGCTTTTTTTGGACTACTTTTTAAATCATGAAAAATGAAATGCTGAACTATGCTGGTACTTTTCTAATGATTTAAAATATTTTGCTTATCAAGTGGCCTTGTAGCAAAGTGAAGAAAGTTCTCAGATGGACAAAGTGACTTTTCTTCTTCTTGAGAGTTAGGGGCTGAAGGGGAAAACAGAGGCTTCCTATCTGGCTTTAACTTTAGCCCCAGATGCTACTATCAAAAATGTTTGCCTTTGGATTGTCCGTTTTCTTCCCTGGACTTGCTCATTAGAAGGGAAAGCTCTTGCATTCCTAATACCCAGATGGGATCCAATTTTTTCCTGTTCTGAGAGAGACCTGGTAGGAAATAGAGGGACCCATGATGGACACCAAGTGTTTCAGTTTTACTGGGGATTATTTTTGCCTTCTGGTCCCTAAGAAATGAGGTCTGGCATTCTGGTCCTTTGTGAAGATGCCCTGCAGAGAACTTGGACCTCATAGGACTCTGAGGTCTCCCTGTGTGGTTCCCAAGGTTTCCATGTGAAAGGAGACTGTTTCTCAACCCTATAACATGCCCAGCCATCCCCAAGGCTGCTCTTCTTGTGCACCCCAAGGATTCATCGAGATAGTTTTCAGGCATTTAGTCAGGGAGCCCATAAGTGTGTACCCAGAGGTTTCCAGCCTGATGGTGATGATTCAGGAAGGAAGCTGGAAAACATTCACTCACAGAGCACTTGCCTAACATGTATCAGGCCCTGGATTCAATCCTCAGAATAGTTAAAAAAAAAAAAAAGAAACAAACAAACAAAACAAATCACACCTCGATGTGCACCAACTTAAAATACATATATTGCAACACTGTGTGAACAATATTCCGAAAGAACAGCTGGAATTACGCAGTAATTGAATAAGCACATGAGTCAGCTGTTCCGGGATCTGTCTTTGCACTTGGTGGCCTACACCAACTGGTGGCCCTAACAGCTTGCAGCAGGGACCCCTCCCCCTCCCAGGCTCTGGCTGGCTCTGCATTTAACTCTGCTCTGGGGGCTTCACGTCACACTGATCTGACCCCTCTCTGGGATGTAAGAACTAAAAGGGTCTTTTCCCCAACCTCTCTGAGCTCCACAAGGCTAAGAGATCCTACTGGGGTGGGTGGGCAGGGGGTGTTATCTGCCCCAAGTCTGATAGGGATGAGGCTTAGAGGGGATCCTATTCACCGTGGGACATGGAACCTAAATATGCAAGTTCAAGGAAAACATTTAGCCTATTCGTACTGCAGAGCACGTGTAGTTTGGATTTTCCCACGTTTGAAAAACAAATCAGTTCTGTAGCCAGGCAACCTTCTTAGCATAAAGATTTAGGTTGGATGAATAGAGATTTGTTCTCTGAGGTTATGGAGCTTAGTCTAGTCGAGGAGACACAGTTTGTTTTGTTTCCATCACAAGCTAAGTGATAACTGTGAAAAGAGATGTGAGAACACAGGGGATTGTGGGAATGTAAAGGAGAGTCATGCCTGCAGCGATGGGGAATCCCCCTGGGGTCCTCTGGGCCAGGTGAAGGCCCATGGGCGGGCGAGAGAGAAGGCTGCTGCTGGTCAGGAGGCATCCACCTCCTCAGAGCTGCAGAGCTAGGTGTCCCCACTGGCCCTGTGGCACCTGGTAAAGGTTGTTCTGCACCTGCAGGCACAGACAGCTGTCGAGGGTCCCAACTTGCTATGACCCAACACTGTTAACGGGTGTCGACCTTTAGGAGTGGTTCATAGACCAGGTGAGACCTGGTCTAGGCATGGGTCCTGCCCTGGTCACTGTTGGAAGGGCAGAGAGCAAGCAGGAAGTGATGAATAAATACCTCAGGAGGGACAGGAAGTGGGCTAAGCTACCTGAGAGCCTGGGGGATGGCAGAGTAGCTGGGCTCGGCCCCAGGGTGAGGCTAAGGTGAGGAGAATGACTGCATTTGTGTCCACTGACTGGGGAGAGGCAGGGAGGAGCAGCTCTGCAGGTGTCAGGCTGCCCAGGCAAGGGAGGGTCCGGCCTCAGGGCCTGGAGTCGGGATCTGCCCCAAGGCCCTGAATGCTGCCTGCAGGTGGGGCAGCACCCAGGACCCTGCTTGAAGCACTGACTTCAGAACTGCCCGACAGACAGACAGGTCTGTCCAGCAAGAGGAAGACTCGGAGCAGGTCCAGGGAGGCAGACAGGGCATCAAGGTCCTCTCTGTGTGGACGCCCGTGCAGCTCTAGGACGGGAGACCGACTGACTGATTATTTATCTATTTGCCATCGGTACTGCAGATCCAATGCGGCCTTGCCCACCAGGAATTGTGCTGCTCCTGAGTCACACTCAGGCCTCGGTCAGGATGATCGCTCACAGACTCCCCGCCTTTAGGCACCAGGTGAACGTCCTCTGGCCGGGAAGAATCAGTCCCTTCCTTAGGAAGCGGGCGTAAGTCTATCTTCCGTGTGATTCGGGAAGAGAATCTCCCTCCAGCCTTGTTCCTGGGGCTGCTGAGGACCAGGTCTGCACAGTGCCTGGGAGGAATGAGAAATCGATTTCCCCAACTGATGAAACCCAGTGCTGTCAGCGCCCCGGGCAGGATGGGCCTCGGAGGGTGACAGGTGGGGAGGGGTAATTGCCAGTGGGGTTAGGTGGGCAGATTAGGTTTCAAAGTGCTGAGGAGAATTTCAGCGGTCAGAGGATGCGTGCGATTCCCAGTGGCAATGCTCGGCACACTGATGAGGTAATCAGGACGTATCTGGTGTGATTTGTAATGGAGGAAAGCTGATGGTGTGTTAATGACAGGTCTTGGCGTGCTTCACTGTGCAGTGGGATTCAAACTGGAATAGAGCTGCGGGAGTGGGAAGAGCTACACGGCCCACACTAATTGTCTGCTCTACAGAGGTGCCAGGAGCGCAGAAGCCAGTCAAGGGGCCACCGGGGCAGGGTTTCGTGTTGCTCTGGCTTGTGTCGGGTTTTACCATGTCTAGATTGGAGAGACTCTAAGAACGCGTACAGATGCCCCCTTCTGTTTTCTGCTTCTTTATTATGTTGCCTTTAGCTTCAAGCGGGCCTGAGGCAGGTGGGGGGCATTAGCATGACGGGGGCAGGGAGAGGAACAGAATCTCTTCTCACATGTGGTGGCTCTTGCCTACAGTCCCAGAACTCTAGCAGGCTGAGGCAGGGAGGTTCCAAGTTCTAGCCCAGCCGGGGCAACATAGTGACTTATCAAGACCTTGACTCAAAATTTTAAAAATAATAATAATAATAAAAATAATAACTACTACTACCATTGTTATTATTATCACCAGAGGGCTGGGAATGTCGCTCAGTGTGAAGGCACTGGATTCAGTCCTCAATACCGGGGTGGCCGAGGAAGGGGAAGAGGAGGAGGAATCAGGGAAACGGCCTTGAGGGGCCATGCAAGCCGAGGTCCTTCGGTTGTTTATGCGGCGGGCGTTCTGCTTTGCGAGCCCGGAAACCCTCCCACTGCTTAGTAAATCCCTGTGGGTTCTGCCACAGACCACGCTGGTCTCCAGAGGGCGGAAGGCTTCGAACAGGAATCTGAGCCGCTCCTCTTTTTGCAAAGCTCAATGACTTCACCTCGATCAGGATCGAGAGGTGAGGGCCCCACCTGCCGCCTTTTCGGGAAGCGGAGTGCGCAGCTGGGGAGTTTGGCTGGTGGTTTATTCACTGTGCCGCTGGGCTTCTAGCGGTGGGGCGCTTCTCACCTCTTTCGTGGAGTCCCGGGGGAGGTTTCGGGCCTGATTTCAGAGGCCGCACGCAGTCCTGCGGCTGCTGACCCCCTCCCCCCCGCCCCCGTTCCCTTCCGGCTTCCCTTACACTGCACAGGGCCCGAGGCTCAGACCTTCTCCTCTAAATCCAGGTGGTGAATGAGGGTTTCGATGCTGTGCTTAGGGCGCCGTGGGAAGAAAGTAGCCCCGAGTGGGCTCTGCACCCTTGATGAGGTGCTGCATGCACACCTGGAAGGGCTGCTTTCTCAGAGCCCCGTAGCAGAAGGTAAGGTGAACGCAGCTGTGGGCTGTGCGGGCCAGCTCCCCACCACGAACGTGAGCACGCGGCATCACAAATGCGTACTGATGAAGAGTGCTTTCTGATTTCTGTGTTGCCTTTGCTGGCTAGAGTCGTGATTAACAAGCCCCTCTGTGCCTTTGTGGCATTAATACACTTCTTATTCTTTACTTTTTTTGTTTTGAGACAGGGTCTCAATGAAGTCCAGGCTAAATCTGAATTCACTGTGTAGCCCAGGCTGGTCTTAAACTCTCGGAAACCCTCCTGCCTCAGCCTCCCAATTCCTGGGGTTACAGGGGTGGGCCATGATGCCCAGCTCACTTCTTTACAAATAAATCTGTCCTCCCCGGGCAGATCCCGCGTGTGCAGCGGGGTCTGCGCGCTCAGCTTTGTGTGGTAGACGCACACTCCGCCTGAACTCAGTGCACGGCCCACGAGGCCTCTCGGCCGCCCACCTCCCCCAAACGGTTCCTGACGCCCGGGCCCGCCCATGGTCCTCTTCGTCCTAAGTCTGATGGGAAGGAATTTGCAAAGTACAGGGAGAGAAGGAAGATGAAAATGTTTTATGGGGGTCGTGAGAAAACCAAACAAAACCCGCTGCTGACCACGGTCCGCTTTTCCTGGCAGCTACAGGAGGACGCAGGAGACCCTGAGCCACGCGGGGCAGAAGGCCACAGCGGCGTTCAGCACGGTGGGCACGGCCATCAGCAGGAGGCTGGGGGACATGAGGTGCGTGCGCGGGGCGGCCCCTCGGCCTCTCTTCAGGTGCCGACGACCCCACCCTGACCGAGGCCACTGTGCAGTGGGAGGCTTCAGTTTGAAGGGCCGATACTCAGGCCGGGTCTGAGGAGGAGCTTCCCGGGGACTGGAAGCAGGCAGTGGGGAGTTCCCGAACTGCGGCGATCCCGAGTCTCAGGAATCTGTTCCAGGGACGCCTCAAAGTTCAGAGCGGTGTGCTGCGGCCAGCTACGCCAGAGCAGTTTCCACACTGTACAGCCATCGAGTGGTGATTTCCTGTTCCAGGCACACGCATATTTATTTTCTTATTCAAAAAGGATACTGTTTGGATTACAGGACTGGCAGTTTTCTTTCTTCACTTTAGCAATATATTAATATATTTGACCTCTTCACTTTTAATGACTCATTATCATCCAGTGCAAGACTTTATCCATTCATTCACTTATTTATTTTGTGACAAAGTCTCACAATGTAGCCCAGGCTGGCCCTTTAACTCCCAGCAATCCTCCGGCCTCAGCCCTCCCATGCTGGAATTACAAGCATGGATCAGCATGCCTGGTGATGACAATAAAACTTAAGTACCATCCACATTACATTTTCATATTTCACTCTTACACAAAAGTAGGGTGAACATAGAGGTAGATTTTTCAACCTGAGAACCAAAGATCCTCACTCTACTAAAAAATAATACGTCATACTGGCGAATTTTAATTTTTCTCTTATATTTAGGGAAGTTATCCAACATAGAGTCATTACCATTATATTTTTGCTTGTTTAAATACATATCAAAAATATAAATAAATGATTATGGATCCTTTTATTTTGAATTTAGCTTATTGCCTCAGGAGAGGTTTCTTTAGAAATCAATTTCACTTATCTCTAGAAATCAAACATTTTAATAATAACCCTTTTCTAGTAGGTTTTTAATTTCCTTTTTTTGGAAAATTTTGTATGTAGCCAGGTGGCACACACCTGTTATCTCAGCTACTCGGGAGGCTGAGGCAGGAGGAATACAACTCCAAGGACAGCCCGGGCTGGGGATGTGGCCGTGTGGTAGAGCACTCACCTAGCAGCCACGAGGTCTTGGGTTCAATCCCGAGAACCCGGAAAAAAACCCTCCAAAACACTGTGCACATTTATTTTATTGGATTCTTAAGCTATTGTTACCTGAAGGCAAATAGTCATATTTTGTGTTTGACTCACTTTTTGCCTTCAGAAATGGCTGGATTTTGCCTGGCGTGCTTGAACCATCTTAACCAGGCATTGACGAGGGCAGAGCTAATCAAGGACAGGAGCCCGCGGCTGCGTGCATGGCTCAGTCTTCATTCTCCTGACACTGTGCCATCAAAAGCCCCTGAAATTCTCCAGAGTCAGCTTGGAGGAGCTGATTTTATTGCAAATAACATTGACAGTCATCTCAGTAGCATCAACGAATTTATCTAAACAAATACTCCCCTAGAGCAGGAAAGACCCGATTAAGTACCTGTTACACTGGAGAAAGTGTATTCTGCCTTAGTGGGACTCATCCCTGAGCGTGGGCAGCTGGGCACTGTGCTGCCCTGGGCAGTGCTTCTCTGTGCTCAGGGCCTAGCGACGCCTCCCGAGCTATTCAAAGTGCACGTTTCCGGGCCCCTCTGACTCCGCCCGGGAGGCCCCCACCCTGTGCCAGCCGAGGTTTGGGCACCAGGGCACCCTGCTCTGTCGCTCGCGGGCAGAGGCCCTGTTGGATGCTCTGCAGAGTGGTGGATGCGCTTAGCGAGTCTTGTTTTGAGCCCTTGGAAGGGGAGAGCGAGGGCGCTGCGGTCCCCTCTTTGCGTCTGCTGTGCTGACTTTCCTTGCCTCTCCCTCCGCTGCCGGCTGCAGGTCTCACTCCATCGGGTAAGCACCCACCCGCCTGGGGGCTGGGGGCTGGGGGCTGGGGGCTGGGGGCTGGGGAGGGCCCTGCCCCGCCGGGCGGACTGTCCCAGAGGGAGCGCGTGGCCGCAGACACCAGCGGCAAGGCGCCAGGACCACCGCGTCTGTGAAGCGACACCTGCCTCATTTCTGAATCATTTCCACCAATTTTATGTGCAGAGCAATTGCTCTTTCTGCGTCATTTCTTCCTATATTGGATAGGTCCTCAGAACTGAAAGAGGAAAGTGAAAATCTTTGAAATTGAGAGTAGCGTATTTTTACAAAACTTTCAGAAAGTGAAGCTGAGAAAGAGAAAATTATTTCTCCCAGTTGTCAAGTTTCTGACTTTCTCGTAACTGTTTTTTGTTTTTTTTTTTTTTCAGGCACAACTTTTTTATTATTTATTATTTTATTTTTATCTGTAAAAGAAATTGGGCCCTAGAAGTTACAGTGATTTAGACCACAGCAAAATTGTGCATTCATGTTCTTGTTTTTGTTTAGATACAATTAAACCATTACACTGGGGGCATACTTCATTTGCATGAAATTCTGCACTATTCTTAATGTTTCACCCTCAACTTTCTGCACCTTCTACATCTGAGAGAAGAAAGATTATTGGAAAAAACATGTTTAAAAGTTTGCAACAGTTATTTCTGGCTTCTGAATTAAGTCAATTTTACCTCGCCGGGGATTTAGCTCAGTGGTTTTGTCGCCTGCTGTGCAAGCACAAGGACCTGAGTTCAATCCCTGGTACCAAAAAAAAAAAAAGAAAAACAAAATTTCAAAGTAAATTTTAGCTGGAATTTTATATGAACTTTACTTGTTTCCTAGAGAGTCACTTACATTTAAAAAGGTGTACAGATTAGTAATGCTGAATTTCTTTTAGTGATGGCTTTTAAATGTAGTTTCTGAGGAAGTACTTTGGCTGTAGTTTCTATATGGAGTGTCGAGTTAAGACCCTAAGTATGCCCTGCATGTCTTCGTCCTTTTCTATCTGCACTTTGGTAAAGTGCGCCCACACTGATGGCCTCGGGGTGTACTGGGGAACCGTGACAAACTTGAGGCAGGACCTGTTATCCCCTGGGAAGAAGAGGCAGCAGAGACCATGTGGATAGGTCGGTAGGGGACAAGCACCAGCCCAGGACAAGAGACCCTTCTTGCTTCCACCCTCTGGCCAACCTGATTTGAGTGGGGTTCAATAGAAAATAACACAGAGGAGAGATGGGGCTCTTAGGGTTCTCAGAAATGTCTGTGCGTGTACCAGATGTTCTAGACGGTTGAACCAGAAAGAATGCGGAAGTCCTCCTTCCACGTTAGACTGTGAAAATGGCCTTAGGAAGTGGAGAGCTAGGCTGGATCTGGAGGGTCCACTGGGCTGACCAGCCGGGACACCAGGCATTCTCTGACTTCCTGTAGGGGCCCTACAGAAAGGAAATATAGGACCCAGTCATGGCCTATCTGTCTACTCTCCCCTCACAGCCTTGGAAGCTGACTGTGGCCCCTCATGCCCAAGGAACACTGACTCCATCTTGGATGGGTGGGCAGGAATACTTCTGGTATTTGAAACTGCTGTTTTAGAACTGTGAAGAGAAAGTTTTTCATGTACTTACATTGTGCTATCTTCTTTTTTCTTTTTGCCTTGAAGCTACTCCATTCGCCATTCCATAAGTATGCCTGCTATGAGGTAATGTGCGCACAATATTTTACAGACTATTTACGCAGAATGCGCTTGAACTGTTACTTTGTGGATGCCGCCATGCCAGCCGCCCTCCCCGGCTGCTTTCTGGAACGGAAATGGCTGAAGGCCTGGGTTCCGCCTCTTCCTTCCATCTGGTGGCCTTCTGGGAAGGACAGTGAGCTGGGCTTGGGCTTGTTGTCAAATACACTGACTTAGAACGCAGCCTTTCCCACGTGACCCGAGTGACCTAACCTAGCTGCCTCCAGTCCCTTACCTGTGTAGTGCAGTGAGGCCACCTCACACGAATGTGATGAGGCCAAAACAGAGTGACCCGTTTGAGACAATCAGCACAGGGCCGGGACGTTCCCCACACACTTGCAAGGGTGGAGACATAATTATCATTTCTGCAGAACGAAATACAAGCCCAGGAGAGCATTTAAAACGATGGCTGTGAGACTAAGGGGCTGTTGTCCTAGAGAGGATAGGATATCGTTAAGATTTTTAAGGTCAGTAGGACGGATAGGTGTCTGTTAAACGACACAATTAAAATACTGGCCAGATGCAGACTTGTGAGAAAGGCGTTCGCAGGCTCAAGGCTGCAGGACCTAGTGATACAGTTGTATCAATTCAGACTAACAGAAATGCAGTCCAGTGGAAGGAACCTTGGACTGGGAATCAGAAGAGGCAAGTTGTAGCTCAGCTCTGCCACGGAGCAATGTGACAGTCTGGTGAAAGTCACCTCATGGGGTTTGGTCTCCGGGCATTTAAAATTAGAAGCTAGTGCCAGATTTCCTGCCCTCCACAAGGTGCTACTGGGGCCAGGGGCTGTTGTCCATGGGTGTGGGGTTGGGGCTCACGGCTCTGGGACCCCCTCCGCTTCGATCTGAACTGTGCCTCTCATGCCTGCTTCCCAGGTGTACTTGTGGTTTGAACACATTAGAGCAGAGGTTCAGTTTCTATTTTAAATCATTTGTGACTGCTGAAGCCAAATTCTTTCTAGGGCCATTTCTAACGCTCAAAGTTTGTGGTCACACATGATCTGATTAAATCTGATAAAACAAGTTCTCCCTGTTCTCCAGCAGGCATCTGAATGTGATTTAATTAGAAGAATGCCTACTCCATTATGTCCCAGGAAGTCTCTTCTACACCGGAGTTGTTTGGTTTATTGGATGATTTGGAAACTCAACCACAGTACTGAATTTGGTTTTCTGTACTTAGTGATAAATGAGGAACACAGATTCAAGATTGTTTAGTTCATCTTCAAGTGACTTCCTCCTCCTGGTGTATAAACACCCACAGAGCATAGGGCAGCCTGAGACACTGACTCCTTTACTTAGCAAAATTTGAATCTGAGGATCCAAGAAAAATGGAAATAATTATTGTGACTTTGCTCTGTGAACCAGGAATCTCTATAAATCATGACTTGTAGTCTTTATAAATCATGACAGTGCAATCCCATGAACTTCCTGAGATTAACTCTGAAAGGGCAATCGATTTCCCTAATCTAACACATGCCCATGAGCCCTAGGCTTCACTGCCTGCCCAAGGAGGTAAGTGACAGCGACATAAAGCCAGCAGGGGGAGGGAAACACCTCAGACCCATACTCCAAGCCGCTCTAGTGTAACTACACCAGTGTTTCACCAAGAAACAGGAATATAAGAGCCACTCACGGGAAGTCGACCCGTCTGAGGCCGGTACTCGGTGTGTTGCCTGGCTGTGCCCTCTGACGTCACCAGTGTTGATCCACGCAGCCTGGCTCTAGTGCATCTCTGGTGTACGAAGCTTCGGATTCTCAAGGGACAATTACCAATAAAGCCTGGCTCACCCCAAAATGTATTCTCTCTCTTTTTTTTTCTTTCTTTTTTTTTTGGTACTGGGGATCGAACTCGGGTCCTTGCACTGGTGCAGCAGGCAGCGAAACCACTGAGCTAAACCCCCGGCCCCTGTATTCTCTATATTAGATGTCTCTTGATAATGCTAAAGCCTGGTTCATCCTACACTTTACTGTGAAACCCACATTTTACAACCATTCTCCCTTCTAAAGCACCTCTGGCCCATTCCTTAGTTTACTTTTGTTTGGGCCACTGAATAGCCTCTGAGACGTAGTGATTTTTAGTTGAATTCTTTGATCTAAACATAATGGCATTCGTTGCCAAAAGCTGACATGGATACAAGATTTAAGATGCATTGTAACCTCAGTTGTAACCTCAAGTGGTCAAATCCAGTGTAGGAAACGAGAAAGCACCAAACGAAGATACACTTGGAGCAATAAGACGGTGTACATATCATTTAGTGCAATGAATGAGTCACACATAAAATGCCAGTAAGTTTCAAAGGCCCTAATAAGAGAACATATCCTTTTGGGGAAGAAAAAGAACACATGCTATTAACACAATTTAATCTTTAGATATTCAACAGGCAATGGGTGAATTTCAACATAACATAATGAAAGCATTAACTTTCAGAGGGGCTGGGGATTTAGCTCAGTGGTGCTACCGCCTGTGTTGCAACCGCAAGGTCCTGAGTTCAATCCCTGGTACAAAAAAACAAAACAAAACAGCTGAACTTTCAGAAACACTGCTTCATTGAACTCATCAAAATGATCACGTTTTAAGATATGGAAAAGAAAAGATGTAGGGACTTTTTCCCATCCTTGAGTTATTTCTATCTTGTCTTATATTTGAAAAAAAAAAAAACCTTTAAAATGCCAACTAAAAGAAAGTCAAACATGACATTCTTCAGATAGATTTTTTTCCATGGCTTACAACACAGATTTTTTTAAAACGATGACTCAGAAAGATAATGTAATAGAAACAATTTATTAGTCAATGACAAATTAAGCGATCACTGCATTGACTCATTGGAAATGATTTATGATGCACTGATGGAATTTTAGGGTTGTAGCATTGTCACATGCTGTATGATTTATTCCACAGTTAAGTCTCCAACTCTCTCACTTAGAAGTATTCCATGCCTCATGTGGACCTAGCTTAGCAGGAGTGAAATGTATTTCAAAGCATGGTTGGGCTCGGTGCAGGCTGACAGCTGGCTCTGCTGTAGAGACAATGTTTACAAACAAGTATAGAAAAACCAAGCAGCATAGTTGCTAAGATGCTAGGTCTTTGGAACTGACCTCTCTTTTTTTGTTATTTTAGGAATTCTCCGACTTTCAAATCATTTGAGGGGAGGATTGAGACAACCGTCACAAGCTTTAAGGTACAGACAAGAGAGCCGTGTGTGATTGGGTTCACTTCAGCACGGCCGCTTAGTCATCGGTGCCGCTAACTAAGCACAAGGTGGGGCCCCCAGCGTTCCCTGTCCCGTGGGGAGAGATGAAATCAGAGAGTCAGGCTGCTTCCTTCCCATAGAAAGCTGCAGATAAAATCAGTACTGATCAGTACATAGAGTGCTTTGCACCAAACCACTCGGGAGTGAATCGTGCGTTACCATGAACTGGATTTGTGTTCACCTCTTCATACTTATCCTATGAAGTAGGCACAGGAGAGAAGACTGGGGGTAGAATGAGTGTTACGGATGTGAAATTAGGGTGTGAGTAAACTTTCCATAACAGCACAGAGCTCTTCCACCTTGGACAAACACAAACCGGGCACCTGGGCTATGGGGCCATCCGCTTCCCCTTAGCTACCTGCAGCTGTTTATAAATTCACACTGAGCCAGCACAGGATGGTTAGAAAAGGCAGAAAGAGAGGCCAAGTCCAAGCAATGCATTATTGTATAGTAATGCATTTGACTCTTGGGCGTAAACTGAAAATATTTCCCCTTTATGATAGGTATTAAAAAGATGCAGTGGATTTATTGTTTAAGCCTTCATAGTCTACAGAGAGAAAAAAGAGCAAAAATAAACCAGTCTAATTTTAAAAAGATGTAGACTTTTAAAATAGGGAAAATCATGGAAAATATTGGGATGATTTTTGAAAGATGTTGCTTAAACAGTGATTTAATTGCATGTTGATATTGTTGTCAGTGTTGTGTATACAATCCATTTCTGTACTCTACTATTATGGGGAAGCTACAAATACAGAATCTGGGACGGGAGGGAACCCAGCTGTGTGCAGATGCTGGCTGTCAGCTGCTCCCACCTCCTTACGAGGCCTGGTGAATGCAGGTGGGGGCCTCATCCTTCCCTCCTGCAGGAGCCCAGTGCTCTCAGTGATTCGGACCTGGAGGGTCTTTGTTAGGAGGACTCTTCCATTCTACCTGTGCTTTATTAGGCCTGTGATCAGGTGTTGAAAGCCAAGAATGAAGCTTTCACTCACAGTCCTGTCCTTGGCTTCAATCCACACAGTTGCTAGTCGTGGCCTCTCTCCCTGCTTGCTAGCATCGTTACTTACTTACTGAATGTACATGGGTCGATCAGCAGGAGCCATTAAGCCCCACGAGTAGGGAAATCTGCATGGCTGTGGAAGTGTTTTCTGCTGGAACATGTAGTATCAAAGCAAAAGGCTCAAAACTTAATGGCTATTTTCTCAGCGCTTGGTTTTCAGCCTCAGATGCCCAAGCAAGATGGATTCTGTTGCTTGGTAGAGAAGTTCTGACAATAGGAGGAGTTGTACTTTCTAGGTTTTCTTTAGAAGAGAGAAATACGAAGAAGTAAAAGAATAAAGAGCAACCTATTTTGATTTGCTTTTAGGACACTGGCAAACCCACGGTTCACACGTGATCTAAGTATCTGACCCCACCCTCAGGCTCTCACTGCCTGAACTCCTGTGCTCGGTCGGTCGGTCGGAAGGCTTATCGCCCATCCCTCTTGCGCCTTTCATGCCAGCAGCTCGGCCCACCAGATACCGTCCTGTGTCGAGACCTCCTGAAAGCGCACGCTATGCTTGTGTGATTTTCCCTGGGTTTAACAGGAATCACATCCCACACACCTTCTCTCACACAGCCAATGCCTAATTTCTCTTTTCCTGCCCACCCAGGCAGTGGAGAATAGCTGATAATCATGTTTTAGGTAAAACCACCCACTTCTTCAGTAGTTACAAATTTCTCATTCCCCTTTTCCTCCAGTTAGCCCTTCTTTCTGTAGCTTGTCTTCTGCAGTTTGCTTTCAAGTGCTAAATCCTCACCGACGTTTCTGTACCACTGCTCCCCTCTGGATCCCCGACTGCAGCTCCTGAGTCAGCACATATGAGAGCCCTTGTACATTTCTGTCACATTCCCATTCCCAAGTCTGGCTAGAAGCTTGGTTTTTGAGACTTCTGATGGGCACCGAGATCCTGCCGTGCTTATATTCCCAGAGAAGCAACATCCTACTGGTCCTACTGTGAAGCCAGCAGCTGTGGGTCTCCTCATGCAATCTGACACGTCCCGTGCAGCATTTCTGTCAAACCGGTTATTCCTCGTCCTCAATGCCCAAGTCTATAAATAGTCTGCTTTTCCATGAAAACATTTCCAATCCCTCATAATCACATAAAATTCAGTCCTGCTACATTCTTACAGTGTATCACTTCAGAACACCCCTTGTAGTGTGGTTCTGACAGTCAGCAAGCGCACTGTTTCGTCCAGAACAAGCAACCAGATGCCAGGTCAGCTCCTGTGAAGCCACATTTGTGTTTGAGCCATGTCCCAGTGACCTGTGAAGAACTCCAGCCCCACAACCACTCCACAGCCACAGCCGGCAGCCACATTTACCGCACCTAATTTTGATGGAAATATTGCATGGCCTGAATCAAAACGTTTATAAAAAGACAAGCAAGATATGTTATACTTTTTGTTCATTTGTGTGCTCTCAACCAGCTATTTTATGAGAGATTAGAAAGCACAATTCAGCCGTTCAAATGGAATTTTCTGCAGAGAAAAATTATAATTTTAGAGACAAAGTGACAAATTTTTGGTTGAAAACCTATTGTGAAGGGGAGGGTCCAGGAAAAGCTTATTTTTCCCATGTCTGCTTAAGCCAAGTACTGTAGCCCTGACCTTATACTGCAGAGTGCAGTCAGTAAAATCCATGTGGTTAGAAGCCCCGAATTTCCACCCGCTCTTTGCTAAACTGTTTGCTTTCAAAGCACTTCACTTGTTTAGCTCACTGTTTTGATCTGAGGGAATCAAGGAGAGGGAAGAGCCCAGCCCGAGCCCAGAACAGAGCATCAGCCGCAGGCACTCACTGGGCTCGATACTGTCAGGCAATGTTACTGGGAAACAGAAGCAGGAGAGAATGTGCTGGTAATAGAGCAGACTGCCTTGGACCAACCTCATTTGTTTCTCTCAGAGAAGGAACAGGCACTGGGAGCAGGCGCAGGGGAAAGCGCCGTCCTCTGCGCGAGTCCCAGTGTTGAGACAGCGCAGGAGAGATCAGCGCTGCCCATAGGCTCAAGCCCAGGCCAGCTCAGCAGGTCACCTACTGTGGTGGGAGCTGCAAGCTGAGAATGGCTTTGCATTTTCTAAAGGTTGAAAACACCAGGATCAGAACAGTTCATGTGTGAGTTAAATGGCACCAGGTTCCTGCTCTGATGCCCGTACTTCCGCTTGGGGAACAAAGCCTTGCTCGTTGCTTACATATTTCCTGCAGCAGCTTTCTACAGCTGAACTCAGTATCTTCGACCAAGACGATGTGGTCCCCCATGACAGTAAAAATATTTACTCTCAGGTCCTGTACATAAAGATTCTTCTGACCCAAGCAGTATGGAAACGCTTAAGAGGCACAGAAAGATTTCAGGGCCAATGGGAGCAGAGTGTCTGTTTTGGAAAACATGAACGCTTTTCAACCCTGTTGTGTGTTTGTTTCAGAGGGCGGCCCAGGCAGTGGGACACACCCGTGTTCTGGGGGAGGTCACTGCAGTGCCAGGGACGCTGGACACAAGATGCCAGCTGGGCAGTGCAGCATGCTTTCTGCTCTGTCGCCCTCTTCCTGGTTTCTCCACACTGTGAGCGAATAAAGGCAGGCCAGGGAGAAGAGCAAGCACACCTGCACTAAACACGTTTGACCATTACATACTTTTTTCCCCCAATAAGTTTATTGGTACATGTTAGGTACACAATACAGTTACATTCATCATTGGGATCTTGCACCTTTACATGAGTCTCTTGGTTCTTATTTTTCCCCTTCCCCTGCCCTCCCTTCACCCCCTCCACCCTTCCCTATTTGCAAAGACTTTGTTTCCATTATTTTCCTTTTCTCATACTTTTTCCCTCCTTTCCTTTTTTGAAAGACTTTCAATAAGAACTTTTTCACAATAGCTAAGCATATTGTTAAACCGTAAGTCGATTTCTCTGTGTTCTGTGTAGTCAATTGCAGGCACGCAAAAGAATCCCGGAGAGCATCGTGCCTTGCTTGCTAAGGGCTGTTCTGACCTGAAAAGCAGTTGCCACAAATTTAGCCCTGTGTGGAACTTGATCCACTCTCACAGCAGAAAGTGGAAATCACTTGCATTGAGCCACTCAGTCCTTGTCAAGAGCCATTTGTCAGGAATTCAGGTTGTCCTGCTAAATCCCAAGTAGAAAACCTGAGCGTCAGGCACATAAGGATGTTTATACATTTGCAACACTGACAGGACCCAATCTGAGTCCAGTCCATCTTGATTAAATCTGTTCTCTGGATGAATGCGGTAGACACTGCAACCCAGCGACCTGATTATCCTCTGGAAGGATCAGAATCCTAGATGTAGAAGAAACAAAGAGAACGTTGCTAAATTGTGCAAAATAGTTTAGAATCCTATCACTGAGTGCAAGTACGAATGACATTATGCACTGTGTTACAGGAACCTGCTTCCTGCTCTCCGAAGATAAACCGTCTTTCTGAATTCTAAGTAATCAAGCTCTTGGCATGTTATAAAAACATTACAAACTTACAGTGAGCTGCTGACTGCGTCTTTGCCTGTCTGCCCGTTTCAGATGAAAGTGGGGGGGGCGAAGCACGGCGGAGGCGATTTCGAGGAGGTCCTCAGCTCCACAGCCCAGGCCAGTGCCCAGAGTCCCCCAGGAGGCCCCTGGCAGGCCGAAGAGGGGCCGCAGTGCTAGGTCCTTGCAGCCTGCGGCCCAGCCAGATGCCAGCCACCAGCCAGCCACGCATGTCCTGGCGTGTCCAGATACGGAGACCAAAATCCCCCTGGGAAAGGCCCAGGGCTCGATGATGTTCTTATTCCAAGCAGCCTCTCCAGAAAGTCGAATAAAATGATTTCCACTTCATTGGTGTTGATGATGGACCACGTGACCATCACCCACAGTATGCAGAGATTGTCATCTTTCCCAGTGTCCCAAGCAGAGCAGGTGCACGATTGGTCATGGCCCTTGTCTGTGTCACCCAGCGTATATTCCCTGACATGCAGCTATAGCTATCTGCTTTGGCCCTCTGGTGCCTCCTTTCTGGTGGGCATGTCCTGTTGTGCTGAGTGGAGCCCTTGCAGGTGCAGCACCTCACGCATCTCCGTCAAGCTGCTTGTGATCTCCTCCATATCAACTGTGTACGTTTATTTAAGCAAATAAAAGAACTGATTTTAAGGATGACTGAATTCTTGATTTCTTTAAGTTTTCAGAGCCATGCATGATCTTAAAAGTTGGTAGACACGACTCTACAGATGCTATCTTAAATCAGCTTCTAACTTGGTGAACAAAATAAAGGATATGAAAATAGTTATGAGCTCAGCTACCCTAGATGTTCAGCTAATCTCCGATTTTAATATTCTCTCCAATTTACACAGAGTAGTAGCTGTTTAGGTAAGGGATATCTGAAGAGGGAATTTAGAATGCCTTCCAATTTACAAATTGTTCTTGAGTATGAAAATAATTGATGTTTTTCCTTTTTTGTTTTGTTTTTCTTAATGTTGATATTTCTGCACTCATGGGTGTGTGTGTGTGATTGAACCCAAGTCCTCATGAATGCTATACAACCCTTCTACCACTGAACTACATCCCCAACCATCCCCCTCCCCCCTCAGGACCTTGCGCTTGTGAGGCAGGCGGTGGCACCACTGGGCTAAATCCCCAGCCTCCCAACCACCTTTTAAATTTGACTTTCAGGTAGAGTCTCACTAAGTTGCCCAGGCTAGACTCAAACTTGTGATACCCCTTCCTTAGCCACCTCAAGAAGCTCGGATTACAGGCATGCACCACCATATCTGACTTCTGCAATCAGTTTTATCCTCCACATTATATGCTTCTCTCCTAAATGAGAACGTACATTATTAGGTAGCAGGGAAATAACCTTAAGACATATTTGTAAAATGCACACCGAAAGACATACTAACTAAAAACACCACAGTTTTAAAGGCCTATGTAATTAATAAATACATGTTAACTTTTTGTTTTTGTGCTTATTATTAAATGGAAGTACATATATAAGACATCATGAAATAAGCCAATCCAAAAAATTCTGTCCAGCCTGATGGAGCATGGCAATCCATCCAGTCTGTTCCTCTAACTGAAAGTCATGCTGGTTCAGGGCCATGTGACCAGCAGGAGCTGTGGCCCTAGGGACAGGAAGCCCGCCCTGTCTGGAAGGGCCACGGCCGGCTGGTCACACGCCGCAGCATGAAGTACACAGCCTCCCTGTCCGACTGCAGTTACCTGGGGACTCTGAAACGGTGATGTCTCATCAGCTCTCTGCTGCCTTTTTTTTTTTTAACTGCGTTCTGCACACTGCCTTGTATTGGATAATCTGCAATCTTGGTGTTGTAAACACTTGTCTTCACTCATGAGCTGACTTCCTGCACTCGATCATCTCCACCTTGCAATCTGAAAGCACGTCATTAAAACTGGATAGAAATCCTATCAGGAAAACTAGTGTTACTATCTCAAAGCTTCTAGTACAAGTTAGCTGGGGATTAAAACCATCTGTCAAAATTCTAATTTCATCCACCTGGCAAAACCACATTCGCATGACCTCTATTAGTCTGAAGGCTTTTTATTTTTCACCTAATTGAGCGTGACACTCATAATGGCCGTGATAGAACCAGTCTTTTTGCATCGGAATAAGGTTCGTGTGAACAAGGCAATCGCTCAGACTTGGGTCATCGGATCGGCTGTTGGAGATGGTGGTCTTATTAAGGGCAGGTAGTGAGCCGAGGCCTGGTCCCACTACTGTAGGTCAGCGAGCACAAGGGGCCCGATTTCAGTGATGTCCAGCTGTACTCAATTCACTCACAGTGGTCCAAAGCGTTTCACAAGCACCTCGATGTTATTTGTACACAGTGAGTGTAACCTTTCATGAAAAACATCAAGATGATTCAGGGCAACACCATGTATACAGAAGGACACCTCAACCAAAACGCATCTCAGCCTTCAAAAACTTCCATGTGAATTGTGATTATAAAATAAACTTCCTAAAAAAAAAAAAAGCAGGCCATTCTGTAATGGAAGCTTCAACCACTTTTCAAATACTGTTGCTATGATGGAAAGTAATTTGTAAATGTGTGGTGCAACTTTATCCTACAACTTACATCTCACATGCTTGACAGGTCACGTAAGGAAAGCAGTGTGCGTCTTATTCTCTCTGGGCACGTTTTCTCAGAAGGCAGCTCTTGAGTAAGAGCTGCACGTTTCATGATAGCACTGCTGTGTCTCAATGCCATCTGTCCATAGTGGCCAACATGGAGAGAAAAATGGAGATTAATCAGTTCTGCCTTCACTCCTTGTCCCAGGTAGCTGTCAGCAAGAAAGCAGTTTGCTTCAGTATAAAATGATGTGAACTTCATGCCCTTCACACTAGATAGGTGTGGCAGGATAAAGAAAGTGCTGCTCCTTTGGCTGTCGAATGTCCCCTCCAAAGTCACTGTGGTAAGAGGTTGGCCCCCGGACTGGTGGGGCTAGGAGGTAGGGCCTGGTGGAAGGGCCTGGTCATTTGGGGTATTCTCTTGGGGGACCGAGGAAGCCAGGTCTCTTCTTCCTTTTCATCCTCTGGCTTGTGAGGTTTAGTTTTACTCCACCACACAATCCCACTGTGAGGAGCTGCCTCACCCTGGCCCAAAGCAAATGGGATCCACTGACCATGGGCCAGAACCTCGAAAACTGTGAGCCAAAATAAACCTTTTCTCTTTATAATTATCTCAAGTATTTTGCTGCAGTGGTGGAACGCGAATACTGGCATTTATGTATTGATTTAATGTGAAATGTGGGCCAACTTCAAACCTGGTATTCAAGTATAATTTCAAATGATGATGTTTAGTAAAATAGTATATTTACAGTGGATCCTTGACATACAAACTTGATCAGTTCCTGAGGGCTGGTTATAACTCAAGTTGGTTTAAGTCAATATAGCTGCGATCTGGATGTTTACCTCGGTACATACTATAGAGAACAATAGGCAGATGAATCTTCCATTAACCTAATTAACCCAAGTTGTTCATGCCAGGTCAGTTGTAGCTTGAGGGTCCACTGTACTTGGATAATCTCTAAGAATGGTAAATTCTTTTGGCTACATTTCTACCTGACTTTCACTTCAGGCCATAGAGGGTTTACACTGAGGCAACCAAAACGTAGTCACAAATTTCTTAGTCTATTTTCTGTTGCTATAACAAAATCCAGAGGCTGAGTACTTTATAAGGAAAGGAGTTCTGTTTAGCTCAGCTTTGGAGATTCAAGGGCATCTGCTCAGTTCTGGTGACGGCCAATGGCATCAGGATGGCATGAGACTATGTGAAGAGTCTGCACTGTGAGAAAGGAAGCCCGATTCCCAGGGGGCAGCCTTACCCTTTTACAAAACTTCTTCCAAGAACTTGCTCTGCCAGACCAGCATTGATCCCTTCCCAGGGCAGTGCCCTGTGCCCTATTACCTCGCCCCACTGTGAAGCTCCAGCTCCACACTGCCCTTCTGAGAACCAGCTTGCAGTGGAGGACCCTTGCCCGACACCCTCCAACATACCCAAACCCCAACAGCAAGTCTCCCACAGAAATCCCCCTTCTTACCTAAGGATATCAAGTTACGCCTATGGAGACTGCTTTATTCCAAAGCACTTCACGGGTCATTTATCCCAGATATATGCAACTTTGACCAGGCTTTAAGATGAATGGACATTTTTTCAAATACAAGGGCACTTGCAAATATAACAGGTGGTGACAAGCCAGCCCACAAGTGACAAACATCATGATGAATTCTGAGTTCAACACAAGAGTAATTTACTCTGCCTCACAATAGGATTTATCACTTTGAAGACCAAATCCAGGGACCTAGCATGTGTAAAATAATAAAATGCAAACATGTAGACATGGCTGGTGGATTCAATAGCTCTCTTATTGATCTGTTTTGTTTCTATGAAAATGTTATTTTATTCCTAGCACCTAGCACTGTAACATTAAAAAACACACACACATTCCCTGAAGGTGTGGACTAAGGAGGGCCTCACTGGCAGACAGATGGTAAACTGGGATGACCATGAGGGGTCCAGGCGAAGTCTGACCCAGGACCGGCTTCCCAGGTCTCTCTGAGTTGTGCGTTGTGAAACTGGCAGCAAAACATTCCAAGTAAAACTCCACGGCCAGGGAAAGCCTTCCAGTTATAAATGCTTGATCTTTATCTGGTTATTTTTTGTACATATTTTTATGTCCAGAGCAAAAATCTCCACAGTACAGACTGATGGACTTATTTTCCTACTAAATAGATTTCCAGAAATAACTGTGCTGTGCTGTTTTCAGTCCAGAGCAACTGCATACACGTGTGTGCTGCTTCTGACGAGATCATGCACCTTGCTTCCTGCAGACTGGGTATCCATGGATACCACAAAGTTTCCAAAGAAACGCTGCCTAAAAATTTTCACCGTGTCAGCCTCAAAGGCCTTCCAATGGAAACTGTCATTGAATTAAAGGGACAGGCCTGACTGCTCCACAGAGAAGTACCAGGCAGGCTCACACGGATGACCTTCCTCTCCACTGTCCAATGGCTGCGTGTCACTTACAGGCACGCAGGGGTGGGTCACTTCATCCCACAAAAGGAACGTGAGGGGAAAGAAACCAGATCAATACGTAACCTCGCTTAGGTTCAGTACCTCTAGGACCCTTCCGGGATCTCTTTTTCACCAAGTCACAGATGTTATGACCAAGCCTCAAGAGCTGCAGATCAGACAGAAAAGCACAGAGGAAGGTGCTCGGGTTTTGGTGGAGAACCCCTCAAAGCCCCAGGCACGCACAGGCTGGGCTTCTGGAAAGTCCCTGGACCACGGGTTCAGAGCTGAGCTATGTTAGGAGGCAGCGTGGCTGGGGGAGGCTGGTCAGGCGTGGCTCAGCAGGGAGCATCTCGCTCCAGCTCCTCCCTTCTCTCTGCTTCCTGGCCACCGTGACATGAGCCACTTTCCTCTATCCAAGTCCTTCCACCATGCCGGACTAGACTGAAACGTCTAAAACTGTGAGCCAAAGTAAACCTCCCTTCCTGTAAGCTGTGGCTGTCTCAGCAATGCAGAAAGTGCCTAAGGCAGAAGGGACGGGACACTTGACCCTGGATGCCCCAATTTATATCCTCAAACAACACAGGACTGCAGGCGAGGTGTCTAGGTCTAGAATCAGGTCTGAGACGGGGCCCATGAGATTTAAAGTCTGGCTCAAAAAAGTGCCAACGGGATAAGGCAGCATGTCATCTGCAGAGAGAAACGCTAGGGCTCACTCCTGACATTTTCCTGTCCTATCCGCATCACTGCGTCAGCAGCAATCTGTTTTCCAACCCAATGGTAATCAGATTTCCTAGTCTTCGCTGACTGCGGCCTTCAGGAAAGTAGGCTACTAAGCCAGGAAAGATGACCTACGATGGCCACACACGCTTTACAACTGAAGGTGGCTAACGTTTTATTTACTAAAAGCCACTGTTCCCGCCCTGGTCACCTGCGGAACCATTTGTTCTACGGCTCCTCTGAGGGCCCAGAGGACATCACGTTTCTTGCTCATACCCAGACTCGAATCTGGGACCTCAGAGGACCAAAGGGCACAGCAGCCGGGCACAGGAGGAAGATGCTCAGCAGGCTGGGGGCTCAGGGCTGTGGCTCCCCCGGGGCAGCGGCAATGTTCGCGTTTCTTTCCTCCTCAAGCTCAGAAACCAGCCGGACTATCTCGGGGTGGCTGAATTTCCCTGCAAAGCAAAGAGACACTCTATGTTGGTAAGGGGAGCCCCTGAGTCCCCGTGCCACTCCACAGCCGGAGACCGCAGCTGCTAGGGAGGCGCATGGGGCCATGTTACTTGCGCCCCCAGGCCCACCGAGTGCAGGTGAGATCCAGGCCGAGGACCATCAGCGAGGCTGGGCACTGGGAACCTCAGCGGGGCCTCCGAGGCCTCTAGGAGCTCAGTGAGGGGCAGGGCAGGCCGAGCCCTGTCAGGCTCTCAGGGAGGTGAAAGCGGAGACAAACCCTGGAGAGGGAGGAGGGAGTCACAGTCCAGGGAGCAAAAGGGCAGCTGTGGCTGACACAGCGCTCAGCATCTCACTCTGCACCTGTCACAGGGAGACAGCACTGCGCCGAGCGCGTGACCTAGGGGACTCACTGAACCCCAACAGCCCTCTGAAGTAGAGCCTACTATCTCCCTCATCTTAAAGACAAGAAAACTGAGGTCCAGACAGGGTAAGCAACTCGCTGGAAGTCACACAGCTGGTACGGGGCAGACTGAGGATTCCAACCCGAGCAGTTTGACCTGGGGCTGTGTTACGAAGGAAGAGGAGGTGGCATTAGCTCTGAGGGTTTTCGTGTGTTAACTTTCTATTTCTGCCTCTGTCGTACGTGACCCTGCAACTACACAGCACTCACAGATTACAAAGGCCTTTCCACATATTCTCTTGGATCTCAGCAGCCACCCTGGCCTTGGGGTATTATGATTGCCACGACCCCATTTTCCAGAAGAGGACAGAGGTATGAGGGGCCAGGAGCCTGTCCGGGGAGTGCCGCAGCTGGCAGTGGCAGAGGTGGATGAGAACTCAGTGCCCAGCCTCCTCTCAGGCGCCACCCACCCCTCCCCTACAGGCAGCCCCATCGCCGTTAGACGCTGCCCAGGACAGGCTCAGAAGAAACGGCGGGTACCCGAAGGCAGCGCTAGGCACCTGCAGTGGAATCGAAGAAGTCCTGCAGCCTCCCGGGCTTGTGCTCCAGGTCTTCGTACTCAGACGCCTGTAGGATCATCTCACACTGGTCCAGCTGCTTCACGAACCTGGCTTCCGCACTGGACTGGGTCTCATACTCCTGAGAGAGGGGAGTCAGAGCGGCATGGTTACAGGGGAGCATCCAGGAAACCCCTGATTCCGAACCCAAAGTTGGAGTCAAGCCAGAAGCACTAGGGCGACATTTCTCCAGGGCACAGCAGTTCGTCAGTCAGGGCTCAACACCAGGGCTCCCCACAAGGAGACGGTCAGCACCCCAAGTGTCCGCCAGATGCCCCAGAGTGTCATGGGTTCACCTGAGACCCTTCCAAGCATCTAGGACACGCGCAAGCATCTCAGATGAGGACTATACTCTCGTCCTGAATGGCAGCCTGTCTTCATTTCAAAATCATTAATCTTTAATCCACCAGGGTCATTTAGCTCTCTGACTTCACCTGCCTCCCTAGTGCAGTCCACTCGGTAATGTCAGAACACCTGTACTGCACTGCTTACTCTGGCCGCCACTTACACTGGGCAATCTCCTGCCTCCCTGCCCACCCGGGATGGGTGCAGCTGAGCCTCGCATGGCTGGTGCCACTGAGGGCTGTCAGGACGGGCCAGGGTGGGAAGGTGGCAGGAGGGAGGTGGATTTCCGCCTTTCGGCGTCCTCTTTCCTTCCCGCCCCGAGGGTACACGGAGCCCAGGACCTGCCCTCCTCAGACAGGATGTGTCACACCGCCACGCGCCCCCGAAGGCCAGGGCCATGGCTCTGCTGGGAAGACACAGCGCTCCCGGCCGGGTCCCGAATGGCCTCACTGGTACTCCCACCCCGGACGTGTTCAGGTAGCCAGTCTGTCACGCCTTCTCGGAGGGTGACACCATACAGATCACCCAAAGGTCTCTCGGGTCTCCTCAGATGCCTTATTTTTACGAAGGCGGCTCTCTGGGTCTCACAGAGCTGAGGATCACACAGAGGAATCAGTGAAATATTGAAGCCCAATGTATTCTGCTTTGTTCCAACGGCATTTAAACAGAATTAAGTGTCCAATGACATTCACAGTCACAGAATAATACTAAATAAATCTAAGTTCATAATTTAACAAAAGGAAGAGGAATACATACTACAGTCAAAGCCTTCGAAGATTTCTTTTCTGCTGAAAGTTCAAAGTGAGAAGAATACTTCAAGACCACTAGGAAACTATGTTATTGTATATCCTGGTGAATTTACATGATTTCTTTTAAAAGAACTGTAAGTAGTTGGAATTTTCCCTCCAGAGAGAATGGCTCCAGGGTTGCCCACCTTTTCTGTCAAGGACAGAGGTGGCGGAGGGAGAATCCCACACAGCCGGGGAGGAGGAGATGGAGCAGGGCGCGCGGGTCACCTGAGCACGCAGGACAGGCCAGGTGGGCAGGGCGCAGAGGACAGGAGAGGCTGACGCAGCGCAAGGAGAGTCAAGTTCAGATCCACACGTCAGAAAAGGCTCTAACCAGGCTCTAACCGAGGTCCCGGTCCTGGCTGGCCTGGGAGCAGAGAAGTCAGGCCGAGGCTGCAGCCCTGGCAGAGGCACCAGCAGCCGGCGGTGGATCCTGCAGCGAGGATGGGGAAGGCGCGGTTTCGGAGGTCAAGGCCGCCTGAGCGAAGGCAGGATGTGAGAGGGCTCCTAGCTTGGGCCTAACTAGATGGGAAAGTGGGGACTAAGCAGGAAAAAGGCGTCACAGGAGCCACAGTGAAACAACTGCAAACACCAAAGCCTTCTGGATGCTTTCAACAACGTCGGGCTTGAAGACGTTCAGGGAACCCCAAACTCCACGCAGGTGAGACAAGTCACCTCCGGCAGGCAGCCCGAGCCCGGCCAGTCCGCGATGGCACAAGGGGCCCACATCAGGAAGGCCCACCCAGGGAACTCTGCAGCCTGACACCCAGGGTAGCCTGATCTGGACCCCGGACAGTCAGGGTCCCGCGTGGGGAGGAACCGGAGGGGCAGAGTCCTCGCCGAGTGGGCAACGATGTGAAACAGTCACAGGATCTCCACAGACAAACAGGCGGACTTTTCGAACACTAGGATTAACAACAGAACAACGACAATAACAAAACTGGAAGAGGAAGCTCAGCGGAGTTCAAAAATTTTTTTCCCACCACATAATTAATAAACCTGAGAGGAAATGCATCTCTTGACTCGATTTTTAGCTCACTTGAGCCACTCTCTGATGTAAATGTATTTAAAAGCATCATGTGTACACTACAAGTATATATTCGTATAAGAAAAAAACGTATAAATTTTTTTTTTCGGTACCAGGGATCGAACTTAGGACCTTGGGCTTGCGAGGCAGGAGCGTTGCCACAAGTGTATAAATATTTTAATACTACATTTATTGAGACATCATGATATTAATACAAGTTTGCCCTCTACAATGACAAGAGGTGCTCAAAGTGGTGGCCATGAGCTCCCAGACAATTATTAGTACAGTGAACTGCTAAAGTATGTAGACATTTTTTGGAGGACTCTATATACTGTACAATTTTTGTCAATTAAAAAAATAAAAATTTAAAAACCAAACCAAAAAAAAAGCAAATTGAACCAAATTTCCTTCTAGAAGTTCAGTACTCTGAACTGAGAAAATTAAATAAATAAATAAATAAATAAATAAATGGGCTAAGTAGATGGCTTGCCTAACACCACTGAGGACCTGAGTTTAACTCTCAATGCTGTGTGCAAAAAAACCTCCCCTAAAACAAAACAGAAAAAACCCCAAAATTAAGCAATAAGAAATCCAAGAGTAATTAAACAGTATGCATGATCCTTTAACAGAAACTGTAAAGGAGACTACATTGAAAAGTAAAATAAACACATACATACATCTATAAATAAATAAATGGATGAGGAATGAAGGACTTTAGAAAGCCAGGCAAATACTAGAGGCAGGCAAAGAATGGAGTCTTGGAGAAAAGAAAACAAAAGAAAAGTTATATTTCAAGAAAACATTTTTGCAACTAAAAACTTTTTAAAAGACTTCAAAGCATGTGTTTGAAAAGCAGTCTAGTAGCTAAGGAAGACAGGAGTGGTAGCGCATCTCTGTAATCCCAGCTCTCTGAGAGGTTGAGGCAGGAGGACCCCAGGCTCAAACCCATCTGGGCAACTTAGTACTCAGTAAGACCCTGTCTGGGTAAAAAAATGCAACAGGGGATGGGGGGATGCAGTTCAGTTCAAAAGCCTTGGCTTCAATCCCTAGTACTGCTAAAAACAAACCAACCTGAGGATGCTAACCCAGAATGAGCACACAAAGAGACAATCTAATAAAATTACCAGACTTAAAGGAAAAAAGAATTCTTCAGGCACTTATGTAAAAACTGCATCTGGCATATAAGGAAAGTAACATTATGATTATGACATCACCGCTTTAGGGCAGAAGAAAATGAGAAAAACATATTGAAGATACTCAAGGACAGAAATGGGGAGCCAAGAACTTTATATCCAGGAAAAGTGATCTCTGCAAATAAAGAACAGAGAAAAGCTGCGAACTGCAGGAATGGAGAGAATGTGGTTCCTTTGAGCCCTTCCTGAAGAATCTACTAGAAAACAGGTCTCAGGCAATAAGAACTGTTTAAAAATGGCCATAAGGGCGGGTGTGTGAACATCAATTTAAAGATACTTTATAGATCTAAGACTGTGGCTTAAAAGGTTACAGTGTTCAGTGGCTGGATGTTTCGACAATGTGGACAATGATGTTTCTCCCTACAAAAAAGTAGGAGAAACGGAGCAGGGAGAGCCAGCTTGTTTTCAGTAATCAGGACTGATGAAGATGGGATGTATTATTCTCAGAAGGTATATGTGTAAAGAAGGACAAAGCACATAAATACCTGAGGCAGTCTAACTCTCACAACCTGTGTACTGTCCACCCTCAGGATTCCTGGGATAGGGTACACAACATAATATAGAAGAGGGTAAGTAAAAACCCCAGTCCTGAATTTAAATTGGAAATAGTATGAACACACAGAGATTTTATACTCCTCAGTGCTCATACTACAGTCTTGAAATACCATTTCCTAATTTAAAATAAACAGACTAGGGCCGGGGATTTAGCTCAGTGGTTCCACTGCCTGCCCCGCAAGCGCAAGGACCCAAGTTCGATCCCCAGTACCAAAAAAAAAAGACTCCAAAGGTAGTCACATGTGCTAGACAATTAGAGTGAGTGTGTGTGTGTGTGTCTGTGAGTGTGTGTGTGGTGGCTGTCCTTATGTGTTGGCGCTCCAAAGTATATTTCTTCAAATGCAGGTGACACTTTCAGGGAAAAAAAGAATACATTTTCCCTTGGTTTACTGAAATCTGATTTCATACTTCTACACTGAAAGACAAATTACAATCGAGGATGTTTAATTGCTTTAAATAGATGTGAATTTCCATGCAGCTAGCGTTCACAGTGAATAGTGTGGTGACCAACACTTCAAATACCAATCAACTGGCATTTTCTATGGAGCTGGTTTTATTCCACGTTCCATGGGCAAGATGACTGTATTTTCCTAATCCAAAATCAAGATATGAGGACTGGAAACAAAGAAAAATAGGACAGACTGGAGACAGAAAAAATAGAATTTACTGTGTGCCACACAGATTAATTCCCACAGCTGCATATTATTTTTGCCATTTTACCAATGAATTCAGGCAGTGAAAAATTAACCTTTCCTGGGCCACACAACTAATAAACAAGAATAACAGTATTTGAACATCAGAAGTCTCATGCTGAAGCCCAAATACTAACACTGCATATGAATTGTAAAACATATAAATTATTACAGATCCCTGTTGTGGGTTGAGAAATTCACATCCACCTGGAATCTTAAATGTGAGACGAAGTAAAGTCTGTGTGCAGAACTATTCAAGTTACAACGCGACGTTTCCAACAGAGGGAAATGCGGTCGGAGACACGTGGAAGGACATCACGTGACTGAGGGCTCAACACTGGAATAACGCGTTCCGAGCCAAAAAACTTCACAGGCTGCAAAGAGGCGTGGAAGACTTCAGGAGAGAGGGATGTGTACAAGGGTAGAACTGCTGCCTCTGGCTGCGGGTATCCAGTGCTGTGATTCTCTGTGTTATGTTTATTCAAATCCAAAGCCTAAGTAACCCTCACCGCATCTACTAAGAAACTCCTATTTTAAGACCAGTAGGTTCTGCAGCCAAAGTTGTAGCCAGCTGCTGATGGCTAGGAAAATAATTTTACAGACACTGCTACTACGCTGGTGATAATTAGGCGGCACAAGGGGTCAGATTCTTGTCAATGCTTTTCAAATTCTGTGTGTCTTCTCCATGTTTTAGTTTCAGGACTTCAGGAGCCAGGTGCTTTGCTGTCTGAATGGGGCCCCCACTCCACTCTGTAGTTCCCCATCTTACAAAGAGCTCCGAAGGCCACTCGGAAGGACAGACTTCAAGACAAGCGAGGCCCTGCCCTGCAGAAACCCTGCCATGCTGTAACAGGTCCGCCCGTGCCAGGCTCCAAGCCAAATAGTGTGCACACTTCACCAGACTTGGTTCTCACAACTCTCAGCAGGTGCTTATTAAAGAGGCCCAGTCTCTCATCTTAACCCCCTGCCATCTTCTTATTTTCGAGAACACGGGTCCAGAGTGCGCAGCACGACCACCGCCAGGGGCGCCAGGCAGCGAGCGGCTACCGGACAGACGCCTGTCTCTGCATCGGGTGTGAGCACACCCCACCCGCCGCCTGGCACGGGCGGCCTCTTCCGAGCCGGACCATGGTGACGGTGGACACAGCCCCATCAGAGGCTGCGCAGCACGGTCCTTCTGGGACAGAGCTGTTCGGGGCTTCCCCGGCGCGGCCCTTCCCACCTCCAGGGAGACCCGAGCCAGAGAGGGAGGGACCCTGCAGGGGACACAAGGCAGCGGGGCCCGGATGTGGAAGGTGGAATCGGGCTCCGAAGACAGGAAGCGCTGCGGCCTGGCAGGCGACAGGGTGACAGCCAGCGTGGGCCGCACGGCAGGAGAGGCCGCGGAAAGGGAGCTCAGAGCAGCCGCTTCCCCAAGCGCGCGCTGGCCTTTCCTTCCCGCCCAACCCTGGGCCGTCGGAGCCCTGCGTGCGCCCTCCTACCCGCACCACCAGCACAGTGGGCTTCGCCTTGGTCTCCTCCACTCCCGTGATTCCCCGGGGCTCACGGACGGGGCTCACAGACGGACACCGGAGTCCAGCTCACAGAACCGGGAAGTGGGCGGGGTGCCCCAAGCCCCCACACGGGTCAGCAGTGCGCAGCAAGCCGGGGCTGAGTCAGGATCCACCCAGGCAGGGCGGCAGCAGAAGTGGGCACCCTGGAGGGAGGCACACTGGCCACTGGCAGAGAAAGCTGTGCGACAGCTGGCTGGGGCTGTCTAACCCACTCCGGGACGAGGCCTGGGAATCCAATCCCGCCACATATGTGAGAACTTACTTCCCACAGGTCATAGAGCTCCTCGCTGAGTTCTTCCGGCAGGAGCTGGGTTATCTGCTTCATGGCTTCCTGAAACAACAAACGATAGCTTCATGTTCACCGTGATCTACACTGACAACGGGTCACCGTGGCCTGGATCAGTGCCAACATCTTCTGTACAGTAGATCCATTTTCCAGTTAACATGATTTTATCGCAAAATTCAAAGTGCCGCACAAAGGGGCAATTACTGTCGCTAACATAAAGGAAGTTCCGAGCTCGACTTTGGAGGGTCCCAGACCCACAGGCTGCACTGGGAAACACACCCCCACTCTCCTCACCACCTTGCCTGGCCCTGGGGACCCCCGATCTCCCGCATGGGCTCCAGGACAGGGAACCATTTCCTCATCCTCCTCCACGAGAAGCCCGAGCTACACAAACCCGAAGCAGAGCTGAGCGGAGACAGGCAGAGAGCAGGGGTGTGGTGTGCTGTGCGTATGTAGGCATCTATGCCTCGTTCCAATCCCCCACCCAGCTGCTCCAGCGTCCTCCTAGGGTGTCCCACTCTGGGGAAAACATCCTCTTGAATGGCTTCAAATTCCTGCACCATCTCATCCTGTGTCTCTTACTCAGCTTCAGTTCTTCTAACCCCAGGAGTCAGACTCCTTGAACATGGTTTTAAAAACATTTTAAAGAGATAAGTGATAGAGCTAACTCTTATCTGTAAGTTGTGAATTCATATTGTTTCATCCCATGTACAAAACCATTTTTTCCTACAAATTGTGTGTGTGTGTGTGTGTTTGGGTGTCTGTGTGTGTGTTAGGGGTTGTAAAGGAAAGCACAATGTTTCACGATTTTTGCTTCAGTGATTTTAGGACAAATTAAAAATCCTAAACTCAAAAAAAGCCCACTTTTGGCACCTTAAAGGCCTTATGTAAAATAGAGAAAAGCGATGAAAATAAAGATGGATATTTGTGTATTTCTTCATTACTGGAAGGAAAAAAATCTTACTGAAAATACCCATCTCCAGAGCAAACTATATTACCACTGTCAACAAACGGCTGTACAAGTGACAGAGCCTCACGCTGTCCTCAGTGGGGTGAATTCAGTGTGTTTTATACTTGCGTTCTTTCAGAAACCACAGCAAATGCCTGAGAAAATACCTCGCATTTTTACCAATTAAAGGCGTCTTTATAAACAGAGTGATTTCCTCCACACTATTCCAGAAACACACGTGTTCCCATTTCTCATGTTTCAGGAGGATATACTCAATGTCTGTGTGTTCAGGTACATCAAAATCTAAACTCGTAGAACAAACATCAAAATCACGCTTTGACAAGGACGATCTGATTTCTCTGACGGTGATGCACCCAGCATAAACAGTGACTTATGTCTCATCTGACCATGGTGGGCTCGTGCTGGACACTGTCTTCTCAATGTAGCCTAAGGCAGAACTGGCTTTTTGCAGATCACACCCTGAGGCTGAGTTTTCAATCAGCTTCTTGTTGAGGAACATCACCAAGTTCTAGGAAAGCAAAGCAGACAATAAACAGATTCCTCTCTTCCTGAGACGGAGCAGATCTGCTGCATGTAAGCTCACTGGGATCATGCTACTCCACGTTTAGAAGTGCACTTTTGAGACCTCTGGGTCAGTATTCCTTGTTCGGAGGCAGATGCCACCACAACAATTAGCCTTCCAGTTAGTTCATCAAGTATTTTTCCTCCCTCCTATTTCAGTTTAAATCTCTACCAGTCCAAGTCTGCCAGCCTCTGGGCAAACGATTCTCATTATGTGTACTTATTATGTGTGTTCCATCTCCAGCCAAGAAACCCTCACTTAATTATCTTAATGCACGGCTCAGACACTGAATCTGGCTCATAAACACCATCTGCATAAAGAATTCTTTGCCTCCCAGATCTTCCTCTCTGTTCCCAAATCCTGACCGGCAGCAGGAAGAGTCGATGGGACACAGCCCTCTCCAGTCCCTTGGCTTCTTGTCCAAAAACTTCTTGTTCTTATGAAGCTTCCTTGGTCCTCTCTCTTATGATACTTATTCTCCTGTGAGTAGGCAAGATCTTCATCCTAGCGTCCGGGAAGACAGCAGCAGCCCGACTGCTCAGGTCTCCTGAGCCTGTCCCCAGGGCGACACTGGCCAGCCCGTTGGGACAGTAGTAGGCTCTCCTCACCTCAGGTGGCTGGAGATCCTTCGGGTGGACCTCCATTCTCTGAAAGTGCTGGCTTGCTCTTCCGTGGACTGACTCCTGTGCACCTCCAGAAAGGTCACTGTCTTTCCTCTGTCCCTCTGCACATGACTCCACATCTTGCCCTCATTTTAAGGTCTTTGAAGACCCACGGTATGTCAGTATGATTTGTCCTCTAAAATTTACAGCAGGACTAAAGCCATCGCCCTGAAATGAGCTTCTCAGGCAGTTGCCATCCTTTCCCTCTAGGTCGTATCTCATTACCCCTGGTTCTCTGGTTCAGGAGGAGACAGCTCCTTTCTGCAATGCAGAATCTTGAGCAAATGGCTCTCTTTTGGTGTTAATTCTGCCAGTGAACCAGGAACTCTTGATTCATGAAGTCAAGTCTCACGCAGGGAAACAATTCCTTAGACCCTTCCCTTCTCCTTCAAGGACGGCCAGCCTGTATTTTGGATCTGTGGTTCCACAGGAAGGGAAACACAGCCCTTACTCTACTCCCTTTGCTCCAGTAATTTAGGGTGTTAGAATTCCTAAGGGAGACTCCAATTCTCTGTGGATCTTCTTGCCTCTAGAGAAGCAAAACTTGTGTCCACGCTCTCAGGTCTGAAAACCCCTGCCTTAGCCCAACTGCCCTGTTAAACGGGCTCAGTAAAGGCTCTCGTACCCAGCCATTTAGGACCAACCTCTAAGGCCTGTAATAAAAGTAGCTTCCAATAATCCCTGGATTCAAAAGCACACTCTCAGCATTAAGTCTTCCTGGATTTTCCAGCCTTTGACTCAAAAGTGTCTTCTTTGGCCCTGGGCTTGGATTTAGAACTCACACCAACCTAGATTTAATATTTTTCAGTATTACTCATTTCTTAATACAAATGGTTTATTTCTAAGCACTAAGTTAAAAGACTAACTGAACATTTACTAAATAATACTGATTATACGTAAGATTTGGAGAATTTCTATCCAAAGAGCTTCACTAGTGTGGAGAGTCTCTACAACCCACTCCGCTCCAGCTAGTCCCACTGTTCTAGTGACAGTCCACCGACCTGTGTCCTATTACTGCCAAGAACTGAAAGCACCGTGGCTGTCTCTGTGTGAAGGTTACCACGCTTCCCTGTTCTTGTTTTAAACAAAGCTGAAATACACAAAACCCAGAAACCAGCCCGATTACTCCCAGCAATTACTGATTTGCTAATTACTCCAGGAATCCCAGCTTCTTCCCCAGAGTGCCTAACATGAAGGAACCACACATGGCTCCTTCTGGAAGGTTCTCGGGAAGATCTGCCTTCATCATTTTCACCAGTTCAAAGCTACCAAATCTTAGACTCTGCAGTTCCGGGAGTCGCCTATCATCTTAGATGGATCTTACTATTCTCTCCCACAGACCCTACCTGAAATGCTACGTGGTCGGGTCCTCCCTGTTCCCAGACACCATGAGCACTGTTCATGTGACACAATAGCTTTGGTTCAGCTACAGGTTTCTCCAGGGGGTGGTTACAGAGCCAACAGCCAACAGCCAACACTGACCTCTTCTCGCCTATGTTTTTCTTCTTTGGGGACGTTATCTGCTGGTGCTATGTCCCCAACGATGCACTCTGCCATATCGTGAACCAGGGCCAGGCGTATGCATCTGACCAGGCAAGAAATGTTGAATAATTACACAGAATTAGTCTCCAAAAGTTTCTTTTCTATGTTATTTTCAAGCCACATAAGATATGTCATAAAATAGTTTAGTATAGTATTTTATAAAGTAATTATATTCCACCAGCCTACAGTTCTGAACGAAAACAGCCAGTAAGCATCCCACATGACTCAGGAGACCACAGGGAGACTCTGCATGAATTCTCTTCCCCAGGGCCTGATTTCTCAACCCACTTTAAGGGGATCACAACTTCAGATTACAAAGCCAGGAGATGATCTCCTACTTATGTCATTTCTTATTGGTGAAAAACGGAGAAGCCATCATTTCCTGCAGTGTACTATGTCAGATGCCAAAGTGAACTGTTCACAGGATAACGGGCAGAGCTGGACTTAGCCAAGTCTGAATCCAGCAGCCGACGCTTACTAGCTATGAGATTCTACCTACATGATTTCTGCCAATAATTTATTTAAACTCTCAGTTTTGTCACCCTTCATTTCATCACCTGTCAAAAGAGGACAGTAATACTTAATAAGATTAGTGTAAAAATTTACAGCGTAAAGTTATATTCCTGGCACATGCTGATCATTCAACAAATGCCCATGATTATCAGTGATCACTTTAGTCATAATCATAATCACAATAACAAAAGCAAGCAATGAAGTACACGCCCCATGACTGTTTTAGGGCCCCACCTTCACCAAGCTGCCAGGCCTACTCAGATCCTCCTATGTGACCTTCCCTCCGCCCTCTTGGCCTGTTCAAATCTCTGACTATTCCTCAGTTAGTCTCTCTGACTTGAATCTCTTGCTAACACTTCTCGATTCTGTACCAGATGCCAAGTACCAGGGTTCCCTAGATTATAATCAGCTTGATTTCCTTACATGTCGGAAGAGGACCAAGAGACGAAGGGAGAGGGGAGGGAGGGCAGGGAAAGATGTAAAAAGAACTAAGCTGTGTTGTACACATGCACAGACCCCTTGGGTAATGCAATGATTAAGTACCACAAACGTGGATTGGTAAAAATAAAAATAAATCACTCTTTCGCTCCCTCTCCATCTGGCTTGGGTTTCTGTGCCCTTCTCTCTGCCTGCTGTGTCTCCCTCTTGTCCTCTACTGCACCAAGCCTTCCCTGCTGAACCCAGGCAGGACCCTGCATAAGGCTGCCGAGGACAAGCGGTCTCCCTCCTGTTAGCACGCTCAGTCACTTCCTACCCTAGCTTCCCTTGTGCTTTTGACAGAAGCCCCCAGGGCCTGTGTAACTCTCTGTCTTGTACTGGTAGTAAAAGTCTCTGCTACAACAGCATTTAATCCTGGGTGGTTGATCAAGGAGGAGACCTCTGTCTGAACTCAATTCTGAACATACAAAATCACTTCACAAATGGGTGCGACAGAAAAGCACACAGAATGCCACAGCAGTGACAGGATTTCAGACATAACAGGTCTTTGATGCGTAACTTCATGCTTATGCTTCCTGAGTCAGGGCAGGCTCTACTTCTCTCCATGAAACAACTCCCCTGCCCACCTCCTGAGTCGGTGTGGGTGGCCTCAAGTACCTTTGCTAAACCTGAGGGACGCCTGGTGGAATGCAGTGCACACCACAAGCCAGAGACCCCCGCAAGCCCCACGTGCTGGGGTCTCACCGATCCTTGTTAAGGTCCTCATCTCTGGTCACCATGGCCATCAGTGCCATGCGGTACATGTGGTCAGACACACTCTCTGGATTTTCCACATTTCGGTACACCCAGCCGGTCCGAGGGACTCTCTGATAAACAGGAAGGAGAATCAGTTTTAAGAAACAAGTATTTTCAGACACACAAGCCTACCATTGCATGGTTCCTCTTATATGGTTTCCAAAATGTAAATGAAGAGCAAAATAAAAGACAGACAGTAGCAAACTGGGAGACAGATCTTTTGCAAACCAAGAGACCAAGAGAGGAAGGCAGAGGGGAGGGAAAAGGGGGCGTAAAGGGAATTAAGATGCGTCCTGTGACGTTCCAACTGTCCACCGGGAATGTACGCATCACGCACTGCAAACATGGACAAATGAAAATAAAGATCTACATTTTGAAGACGAGTATCCTAAGTATATGCTACGGTCTTGAAGACACGTCCAGGGAACAGCACGCGGAGGCAGGGTCGTGGTTACAGACCTATTAAAACCTGCTCCACGGACCCACCAAAATGACCTTCACTCAGACCGACCAAGGAGCCCAAAGGCCAGGGGCAGGAGCGCAGTTATTCCCAAGTGCGCGGAAGCCCCGGCCCGTCCAGGGGCCCTGCGGCTCCGTCGGGGGTCCGCGCCCGCAGCGCACTCTGCACGCCCGCTTCCGCCGCCCCTCGGCCTCTCCGCCTCCTCGGGCGGCCTGGGGACCCCGGGGGCACTGCGAGGCGGGCGGCAGAGCGGAGCGGGCCATGCGGGATGGGGCCCAGCACCCGCCGCCGACCGGAAGCGGAAGTGCAGGGCGCAGCGCTGCGCGCGGATTACCGGGCGCGGATCACGGGGGCGCGAGCTGCACGCACAGGCCCGGCTCGCAGCGGGCAGAGCCCGAGGAGCCGTCCGGACCCGCCGCGCCCCCGCCCGGCTCCGCCCCGCCGCGCACCTTGAGCCGCCCCAGCAGCCGCAGGAACTGCAGCAGGGACCGCGAGCCGCACGCGGTGGAAGCCATTCCGGGCGCCAGGTGACAGGGCGGGGCCGCGGTGCTCCGCCCCTGCCACGCCCCGCCACGCCCCGTGCTCGTCCCTCTCCCTCCTTCCCCTCCCTCCCTCCAATGTCCATCTCCATCTCCATCTCCTCCTCCGCCGCCGCCGCTGCCCCCGCCGCCCCCGCCCCCCCCCACTCCTCTCCCTGTCCTTGCCGACCCTTCTCTGCCCCCTCCCACCCTCCGGGCCTTGGTGTCTCCCCTTGGGCCCCGCACCACCTGTGACACACACCACTGCTCTGCATCTACCAGGCCCTCAGTTCTTGGCTACTCCAGGAAAGCTTCAGAGACGCCACTTCCGGTGGGGAGGCGGCACTGGACACTTTAGAGGCCATAGATGGGCTGGGGTGAGAGCAAACTGCTTCCACCCCAGGTGCTGAAGAGCTCCTCCCCGACCGGGGGTCTCTGTCTGGCCCCAGCATCTGGACTCCAGTAGCAGCCAGTGGCTGCTGTGTTTACAGGGAGTGGACAAGCAAACCGAGGGGCTGCAGCCGGGAGGGGAGGACGGAGAAGGGCTCGGGACAGAGGGAGTTCGGATTCTGGCCATGCAGCCGGCACCAAATCCTGGAGACCTGTGCATGCTGCACAGCGTGGTCCTTGCTTCTGCGTTGCTTACCTAGGTGTTTGTTCAGCTAAACCCTCACCCAGAGCTATGCCGGGAAAGGGAAAAGGCACCTACGCCGTCCTGTGTTGTCATCCCGGCAAGAAGGGGCAGGAAGGCACTCCAGAGCTCGGATGAAACCCTAGCGAGGACAGCCAGCACCCAGCCCTGGAGTGCAGCGCTGAGACGAAATCTGGGCTAAGGGCACACGAAGGATGGGGCACTTGCCCGCCTGAGCTCCTGGGTTCTCCCTCAGCACCCACAAAAATAGATTTTTAAGTAAACACGTTTGGAACTCTACTGTCAATGAAAGGTATAAAGGCACGAGGGTGTGACAATACTGCTCAGGGAGTGGCCATGGTCTCTTGCATTTTAGTTCCAGTCCTTACAAACTTTGGGTTGCACTGCTGGAATCCCTGTGAGGAAATCAGCTCCCTCAACACCAGAGCCCAAGGAGATTTTCAGAGTATTCAATGCATCTGTTTTCCCATCCCTTACGGAGACTCAGCACCAAAGGAAGTTACTCATAGGAGAAAGTCTTTTTCAATGGGAAAAAGATGGCAGTACGAGATGATACGGATCCTTTGATGTAGACATGCTAGGAAGGAAGCTGGGCCAGACACTGCGAGGCACTCACTCCTGCACAGCCACAGACCGGGGCTTTGGCCGAAGGCAGTGAGCCATTGGTGTGGAGAGCAGTGTCCTGCACAGAGCAGGACCGCGGGGTCTTGTTGATTCCCAGTGGTCTAAAGCCCAGGAATTGTCATCAGCCAGTGAGACGGCTTTACAAGGTGTTTCCCTCCGCGGCCACTGCCCTGTGCAAGACACCTGGCCTGTGCTGGGGGTGCTGCAGGTGCTCAGCTCGGTTCAGGAACTGCAGAGGTACTCCTACTGCGGGGCAGCCTCTTGTGTACATGTCCTGCCCTAGGTTAGGGCGGAAGGACTGTGGATACTGGCCATGCTGAAAGAGCACAAGATGGAGGGAGAAGGAGCGAGAGCCAGCTCCGGTGGGTAAGAGGCCGCGTTAACCCTGTGTCAGTCTTGGACTATTTCAGACGGCCCACGTGGTGATGTGTGCACTGAGCGCAGTGTGACCTAAGGCCAAGACCCCAAAGGGGGCAGGCACCATATAAAGCAGAGGTGTCGTTTTAATCACCCGTCAGATGTCTGTGGGCCCAGGGAAAGGTCCATGTGTTCAGCAGAAGTGGGCTTCAAGTCCCAGGAAGTAACCCACGTAACGACAGCGCAATCCAGGTGGCCGAGGCGCTCTCTGCAGCAAAGCCAGCAGGAAGCTGGTAATGCACCGCCCCGCTGTGTGGCCTCCAAACAGTGATTTTTAAGCGGACTAAGAGAAAGTGAGGCTTTGGGTTTATCTGGGGTTTTCTTGGTAATTTCTAATTTTAGGCCAACATTCTGCTCCCGTGGTTTTATTGGGGTCTCATAAAGGCCATGCTCCAAAGGTTCACTGCACCTAGGAGTTTGTCTGGTCGCCCCAGCCTCCTTCTGTCCTGCCACCGTGCCTTCACAGTGGTCCCTAACTCTCAAGTCCACGTGTGCCAGATGTCTTAAGCCATTGGTGTCACCTAGTGACCGTTATAAAAGGGACTCGGATGCACCAGGATTGGCTTGGCAGCTCTCTGTGCTGTGAGCAGCCGGCGTGGGGCAGGTGGAGTGGGACCTAGCCGTGACCTCCCAGCCACACAGCTTTCAATAGAGGGGAGGGGCCACAGGCTCTGGACACCTCTCCTGGTGCCCAGCCCAGCTCCACATTGTACTCGTGTGACCTTGGACACACTGTCCCTTCACCTCACTTTCCCCATTCGGACAGCAGCTACCAGGAAGTAGTTCTGAAGGTTAACTGCATCAGGCACAGCACTTCCCACTCGGAAGTAGAGCAGCTGTCACCAAGTTCTGTGCAAATCAGCTCACACTTTACAGAAAGGTCTGCAAAGTGATAACTAAATGCAGCATGGCCTCAGGAGTTCACTTGGATCCCTCAGCAACACGACTGTGACTCCTCTGAATGGAACAATATACAGCACCGAAAAATCAAGTCTCACAAGACTAAACCCAGTGGCTTCAAACTATTTACTCCCAACACACCTTAGAAATACCATTGAGATGCTCAACCTTTCGTGGTGGGAGGAGAGGTAGGGAGGGTGTAGGAGGCTGAAATGGAAAGAAAATGGAAGCAGTAAAATCTCTTCGGTGATTGTAATGCTGTTCAGGTTTTTTCCTCTCTCAGAATCATGACTTAGCTGAGCACCGTGGCAAGGGCCTGTGACTCCAGCACTCTGGGTGGCTGAGGCAGAAGGACTGCAAGTTCCAGCTCAGCCTGGGCAGTTTAGCAATGGTTTTTTTTCTCCTCAATTGTATTTCCTTTTTTTTTTATTGGTAGGCTTGCAGTGCATAATAATTACAATCACCTTGGAGAACTGGTACCTATACCTATGGCATCTTGCAGTTTAGCAACTTAATGAGACCTTGTCTCAAAAAATAAGGGCTGGGGAGGTACTCAGAGGTCAGTGTGAAGGCCCTGTGTTCAATCCCCAGTACTGTGGGGAAAAGTCACTGACTTATCCCTTAAAGAGCTTACTGTTTGTTTGGTAGGAGATGTACATGCCCTAGACATACATAGCTCCTCAAGGCAATGTAATTATTCACTAAGATGCTTCTTGATCCCTGATCCTGCTGTAGGCTCAGGAGACAATGGATAACAGCTCTTGCCCTTGTGGGGCTTACGCTACAGCTGGGGAGACAGGAGATAAGGGGGAAACAAAAGCCGGAGAGGTGAGATGGTGAGAAGCACTTGAGAGAAAACCAAGCAGAGTAAGAGCTGTGGATGCCACTTACCTAAGGCACTCAGAGGGGACCCTGCTGTCCCGGTCCTGAGGATGTCTAGGGATTGACAATCAGGTGGAGAGCATTTGGGTGGGGAGGATTGCAGGTGGGGCAGACACAACACAAGTGCCCAGAGGACAACTCGAGGCTGGTGTGGCCAGAACTGAGAATAGGCAGGAGAGGGGCACTGAGGGGAGGAGGCAGGCACTTCATTCTGGGAGACCCTGGGGCCACTATGAGGGCTGAGGGACTCATTCTGAAGGAGAAGGGAAGCTGTTGGCCTTTAGGAAGGGTCCTTCCCGCCTCTTGTTCACTTCCTAAAGGACCGCAGGAGCTGCTCTCCTGAGAGGAGACTGGGAAGGGCCAGCAGGAAGAAGCAAGACCAGCTGGGAGACTGTCAGGGCAGTTCTCTGGGGTGGTGACTTCATTTGGACCAGGTCGGTGGCAGTGGAAGAGCAGTTGTCCCCTGTGTCGATGCTTTCATTTCCAGGGCTTTAATGACCTGCAGTCAACCGAGATCTGAAAATACAGTGCCACAAAATATTTTAAGAGAGAGACCATATTCTCATGACTTCTATTACAGGATGGTATATAATGGTATCATTAGTTATCACCCTTACTCTTTATTGTGCCTAATTTATAAATGGAACTCCATCATAGGTATGTACATATGAAAAAAGTAGTATATCCAGGGGCTAGTTATACCCTTGGGTTCATATGCATCCCCTGCTGATCAGGCAGAATATGGTAGTGAGATGTTGAATGTTGGATGTGTTTGAAGGTGGGACTCACAGGATTTGTGACGGATTGGAGATGAGTGTAACAAACAGGAGTTAAAGATGATTCCACATCTTTGTTTTTTGCCTGGGCAACTGGAAAGATGGAGCTGCTCTTTACCGAGCTGTAAAAAACTGCAAGAGTAGATTGTGACAGAAAGTAGGAACCGGAAGTTGAGGCGTGCTTGAGGTTGAGATGCGAATTGGGGATCCTGATGTGTATGTCCATCGGGAGGTGAGCAGAACGGTAAGGGCCGGAGGTGACCATTTTCGTCACTGTTGTATAACGTGATGCATAAGACCCTGAGACTGGAGGAGACCGCCCACCAAGACAATGAGGGTGAAGAAGAGGTATCTGAACCCTGAGCTCAGGAGCACCCCAACCTTTACAGTCTGGGAAGGAGCAGCCACTGAGCTAGGAAGAGAATGAAGAGACCATTGTGTCCCAGAAGTTAAGTGAAGAAAACGCTTAAAGAAGGAAGGAAATTGGTCAACCAAGTCAGTGTTATGTCAACTGAGGACCCAGATTTGACAATCTGCCTTCCTTCATAAATTCCATGTCGCTGGTGACCTTGACCAGAGTCGGTGTGCAGGGTGGAAGGCGAGCAGAAGCCCTAACGAGGTCAGTCCAGAGAGAAGGGGCCACATATGGCAACTTCTCTGTGGGGCAGGGGTGAGAATAACTAAGCACAACATTTAAATACAGTCGGCTTTATAGTTTGCTGACTTACTGATGGAGCTGACCTCGTAGAGAAGGAGAATTTCTAATGTGAGACACAAAGGAGAGAAAAATAGCCCAGAAGGGCCGGGGATGTCTCTCGGTGGCACTGTGCCTGCCTGGTCCTGAGTTCAAACCTCGGTACTGGAAAAAAAAAGCCCAGAAAACATTCATTCAATATCCTGTAGGAACTGACTAAGGAGGGCGAATCTGATGGAAATCCAAGCTGTTGCTGTGGTGGTGGTGGTGACGGTTGAAATGGGGTCTTGTTGGGCTGCCCAGGCTGAAGTCGAGCTCCTGGGCTCCAGGCTCAGCCTCCAGAGCAGCCGCCATACTTGACCCAAGTTCTTTCTTTTTCCTTTAAAATGTTTGGGAAAGAAATACTGCTTCTGTGTGCTGTATCTTTCTAGGTAAAAAGGATCATGTGTGGTCTGTATTATTAGTTCTCAACTCAGGGTGATTTTGCCCTAAGGGACACTTGGTGACTTTTTTGATTGTCACAAAGTGGATGCAGGGAGAGGAGCAGCATTGAGTGGGCAGAGCCCAGGGCTGCTGTGAAAATTCCCGCAGGGCACACCACTCCCACAGGGATTGTCTGGGGGGAGATAGCAACAATCCTGAGGCGAAAAGAAACCGCATTCTTTATGATTCTCCCCAAAATGCTTCGGATTACATTCTTCACATTGTTGATGAATTACAACCAGCAGAAAATCGATGCTACAATACATTAAAATGAGTGAAGAAATAAACCAGCTTCTCGTGGTAACTGCTTGTGTGAAGCAGCTTAGAAAGCCTCCCTCCCAGGCTTTCGGGGACCCTCGGAAGTTGGCAGGAAGGAGGGGGGCTGCGATCATTTGTGTAACCAGGGTAAAATAGACCGGTGGAGCTCAAAGCAGGGAGTCGGCGGCTAAGCGGGGGTGAAGGAGGTCACAGGAGGAAGCTTGCTCAAGGCGAAGGGGCCGGGCTGTGTTCGTTACCCTCGGTGAAGTAAAGCAGGGCTGGAAAGGAGTGAAAAGCAGGCGCAGGACTTGCCCCAGTCCCAGCCGTCCCTCAGCTTACCGGAAAAGTCCCTCTCGTCAGTTTTCCGGGAAGCCCTCCAGTTGGTCTGTTTTCAGCGCCTCGGGCCACTCATAAGCGCGCAGACCTCAGGGACTCTGTCTCTGTTGCCCAGATTTTAGCCCCCGGGGCCGGCTTGAGGTGTCGCCCCACAGAGCGAGTGGAGCCGTGAGCGGGAGGGGCCAGGTGAATCTCACAGGGCGCTTGGGTGCCCGCTGCTGCCTCTGAGCCGCTTCCCGGGACCACCAGGCTCTGAGGTCCGGCGGCGTGGCCCGCTTCCAAACGCAGACCGCGAAGTGGAGTAACGGTGGCTACTGGGCAGCTCCGCTTCCCTTTAATTAATTAATTTACTTCTTTTCCATCACGGGCATTGAACCAGAGTCTTCACACCAAGCTATATGCCCAGCCTCTTTGTAATGTTCATTTTTTAAATTTTGAGACAGGGTTTCACTAGGTTGCTAAATTACTTAGACTGGTCTGAAACTTGTAATCCTCCTGACTCAGCCTCCCCAGCATGCTGAGATACAGGCATGGGTGTTCCAGGACCCCTCACTGATGCCAAAATCGGGGATACACAAGATCCTTCTGTAAAACGGCACAGTGAGTGTAACACACACACCCTCCTGTACACTTTAAACCTTCAGGCCACTTGTGATACCAAATGCAGTGTAAATCCAGTGTAAATTGCTGTTCTCTGTTTTTAGGGAAGAAGGAAAAGAGAAGTCTGTACATGTTCAGTACAGGTACAAGTTTTTTCAAATATTTTTCATCTATGGTTGGATGCCCCCATGATGTGAAACTCGCAAAAGCAGAAGGCCAACTGTAACATGCAGAGTAAGCCCTATGAAAAGGGAACTAGGAAACTTTATGATCGTGCTCAGCCTCCGATCACTCGGAATATTTCGACTTTGCTTGTAGCCCGAGGAGGTGCTGTTATTAGTGTTGTTCCGGTGTTCTGGGCCGGTACGGCACAGACCTCTAAGTTTTGCGTCTCAGCTTCAGTCACGCGAGAGGCCAAAATCACAGTAAGCGCATGCGTGTGGAGCGGCGCAAAACCAAGAAGATTAAAAGGCGGGAAAGGTTAAAAGCAGGAGACCCGGAAAACAAACAGCAAAACAGAAGCAGCAGCGAATCCAGGCGTTCCAGCAGGAAAACCACGGAACCCAGACACGGACTGGACTTGGGCTAGGGTGACCAGCAGTCTCCTGTCCGGGGTCCAGGAGGGAGGGAGTCACATCGGTGTCTCACTTGAGTGGTCACAGGGACCCACGTCAGCCTGCACGTCAAGGCTGTGGAGGGACAAAGGCAGGCAGGAGGAGCGGAGATGGCGAACCAGAGCAGCCCTGGCTGAGGCAGGAGTGTGAGTTTGAACCCAGCCTGGGCAACTCAGTGAAATACTACTGCTACTAATACAAACAAGTGCTGGAGATGTCTGTCGCTCAGGGTGAAGGCCCTGGGTTGTGGGGAGCATGCCGACCGAGTGCCCCCTACCATCTGGCTCTGTGTGAGTACTGGGCACTGTGATCAGTGCACACAAATGGGGACACCTCCCACTGTGAACAGCACAGGATACCTCGTGAAGCTGAGGTGCCTGTCTTGCCAAGAAACCATATCTTAGAACTTGGGAAGAAATCCCAAACAGAAATGCTCTCATAAATAAAGTGCATGCCGAGCTTTCTTTGGGGATAAACCAGATTCTTCCTGTATCTTTGTTTCATCAGAATCTACTAGGCAAGTTTTTAAGTTCGTCAATGAGGCTGGGCTCTTTTTGATGGCTGCCTGGGTCATTGCAAAGGGTGACTTGGCCTTGGAAGGTCGCAAAACCAAATGGCAAAACATGAAACCATACAACAGGTCTCCATCTTTTTGGAAGTGCGTTTCTGAATTCCTGGAGTATTTCTCAGGCAGTTTTTAGTCATGATGGAAGATAATACTAGGCAGAAGATTCTAGGGCATAGCCTGGTATCAAAACCACTTTACCTCTGGATCACACAGCACAGAGAAAATGGCAGCGGGAGATGCAGAAGGGTCAAAGCTGAGGAGGTGTTTGGCACAAATTTGGTAGAATGGCACAAATCAGGAGCTCAGAAATGTTAATTTAATGAACATAACCTGTCATTTGTAAAAGAACAGATGCTGTTGATCCAAGGGCCATGACACAGTGCTGCAGCAAGGCTGCTTTGGACGGAGAAATCTTGTTTCTCTCCTATCCCTGGCCAGGTGAGGCTGGGGTGCCTGGGAGTTGGTGAGGAAGAGGGTCAGTCTGCGGAGGCTGGGCCTTCCTCGTCTCTGAGGACAGGGCCCGTCGGTGTCAGAGCCACAGCCCACGGCTTCCGGTCCTCTAACTTCATTGCCCTTCCCTCTTCATTGGAGCTTTTAAATTGCCTTTGAATCAGGAGCAGCCAAGAGCCTGCTGTGCCTTTAGCTGCTGCTGATCCTGTCCGAGGCCTTCTCTCCCTGGGAAGAGTCACCGCAGAAGGAGGGCGTTTACAGCCTGCCTTGTTAAGGGAGCGAACCTCCGTAACAGGACTGATCAAGGCAGTCCCGGCTAAGACACAATCATAAAGCCCGAGATGGGTAAACACAGAACGATTTATCGTCTATAAAGGGAGTTGGGCCATCTAATTTTGAAAGTGACTTCTAATTCTAAAAGTCTATTTCAAACAAGATTCCTTTGTGGCGGAAGAATCCAGCGCTTTACACTTGAGCAAACAGATCCCCCTGTGGTGGACTTAGTCTGTCTTCACAGTGAGTGGGCAGCACTGGGATAATTCAGTCTGCCCATTTTCTCTTTCCCAGGGATTCAAGACAGAAACATTTGTTTGTACAACACTCGTGGGGTTCTCACCAGACAGCCATCGGTAAGTAGGCGTAGGACATCCCGGGATGAAACATTCTCCCTTCAACATTGTCACCATAGGCATTTGCTTCCTTCTGTTCAGGCGAGGAAAGAGAATTCTGAATGCAGAGCAAGGCCACATTTTAATTTGCAAATGATCAGAAGAATGTGATCAGTCTTTGTGACTTCGTGACTGATTAACCTAGCCATTGATCCCTAACTGACAATGAGCTGTTTTGCGTGCAGACAGAGGATCTGACTATGAACATCAAGGTAGCAAGCAGAGCTCTGAAGTGTGAGAACAAGCAGGGCACCTGGAAACTGAACTCTTCCGGCTTCTCAAGAAAGGCCTGAGCATCCAGGCCCCCTAGGAGTATCCCCTGCAGTTTTAGGGGCTGTCACTAGGTGGCACTGACTCCCCGGGTTCTCCCTCTGGCCCCTCAAAGAAACAGATTGCAAGAATTCAGGCAACTTTTTTTGACTGGCTGGTTTTTCATAGATGGCTTTTATCAGATTGAGGTAGAGACCATCTATTCCAATTTTTTGGAGGGTTTTTATCATAAATGCATGTTGGATTTTGTCAAATGCTTTTTCTGCGTCTATGGAGATAATCATATGGTCTTTGTCCTTGGCTCTATTGATATAGTGTATTACATTGATTGATTTGTGTATGTTGAACCATCGCTGCATCCCTGGGGTGAATCCCACTTGGTCAGGGTGTATGATCTTCTTGATGATCTTCTGCATTCTATTTTCCAGTATCTTATGAAGGATTTTTGCATCTATGTTCATTAGTGAGATTGGCCTATAGTTCTCTTTTTCAGTTGGGTCTTTCTCTGCTTTGGGGATCAAGGTGATGCTTGCTTCCAGGAATGAATTTGAGAGTATTGTTTCCCTTTCAATTTCACTGAAGAGTTTAAACAGTAGTGGCAGCAGTTCCTCTCTAAATGTCTTGTAGAATTCAGCAGTGAAGCCATCAGGACCTGGGCTTTTCTTAGTTGATAAATTTTTAATTACGTTTTCAATTTTATTGGTTGATATTGGGTTGTTTAGAATTTTTATGTCTTCTTTGCTCAACTTTGGTAATTCACACATGTATCTAGGAATCTGTCCATTTCTTCTGTGTTGTCCATCTTATTGGCGTATAGGTTCTTGAAGTAGGTATTGATGATCCTGTGGATTTCTGCTGGGTCTGTTGTAATTTCACCCTTTTCATTCCTAATTGCATGGATTTGGGCCTTTTCTTTCCTTTTTCTGATAAGTTTGGCTAAAGGTTTGTCAATTTGGCTTGATTAATTTTTTTGTGTTGTTCTCTTAGTCTCCATTGCATTGGTTTCTGCCCTGATCTTTATAATTTCCTCTTTTGTATGAGCTTTGGGTATGTCCTGCTCTTCTTTTTCTAGAATCTTGAGGTTCAACATCAGGTTGTTTAATTGGGTTATTTTCCTAATATGTGTATTCTCTGCTATGAATTTCCCTTGTAAGACTGCTTTGTGTCCCATAGATTCTGATATGTTGTATTGTCGTTGTCATTTAATTGAAGGAACTGTCTGATTTCTTCTTTAATTTCCTCTGTGACCCATTGGTTATTCAGAAGTGTGTTGTTCAATTTCCACGTTTTTATGAAATTTTTCCAGTTTCTCTTGCTATGGATCTCCAATTTCATTGCACTATGGTCTGACAATATACAGGGGATAACTCCAATTCCTTTGCACTTATTTAAACATGTTCGGTGCCCCAGAAATCCTTCACACTGAAATCAGGAACCTTCAGCCTAAAGAGGGGAGCAGAGTTAGCAAAGTAAACTCTGGGACAGAAGTGAAAAAACAGCTAAAATTGTTCATTGTAAGTTTGCAAAGTTTGCACATGGTCTGAGATTGCTGGGGACACTTTCTAGGGAGAAAGTCAAGGAGACATTGTGAAGCCAGTTCTTCTCGCCATTGGATTTTTCCAAAAGGACACAGCTCCGAGGATGAGAGGAGGAGGACAGAGCGAAGAGCAGATATTCTTGGCTCTCAAGCTCACCGCCCCTTTCCGAAGACGCTGTTGTAATCCCCTCCGTGTCCTCTGATGCCATGTCTTTGCTAGAGCTCTGAGCCTGTGTGAGGAGACCTCAGTAACACATTTCGGCTCTCCCGAGTCGTTCACCCCACTCGACCGTGGGAGAAGCAAGAGCCAGGAACCTCAGCTCCAAGTCGGGCTGATGCTGATTTGCAAGAGCTCGGGCACGGCACAGCTGCCCTGACCTCAGCCAGCCCGGTGGGATGCAGCTGGCCTGTGCTCCCGGGACAGCCGGGTCCCGCCAGCAGGTCTGCTAAGTCACAGGACGTCACGAAGCCGTAAGTGGGAAGCTGGGCCTCATCCAAACCGGCAGATCCCAAAGCCCAGCTTTGGACCCTTAATCCACTGCTCCACGGGGCACGCACGTGGCAGCCAGCGAGAGCTCAGGCTGTTGTAACGCCAACTTAATCTGATTTATGTTTCAAAGAGGTTTCAAGTATATTATCGAATGTGATACTGGCAACAGCCCAAGGGAAAAGGCAGTTTAGATGTTCTTATCATCACACACCTGCCCCTGCACACACGTGAGCATGCACACACACACACACACACACACACGCGCGCGCGCGCGCAGGGCGTGGGTTACTTGGGCTAAATCACAGAGCTACTTGGGGGCTGAAACTGGACTTGAAACTCTTGTCAACTTCCCTTTCCTCCGCAATAACAACACCCTTTTATTATCCTGTTATTTAGGGGGGAAACACACGAACACCAAACGCGCCATGTGTCTATCTAAGGTACCTTCAAAGAAGAGTCTGAAACTGCTTTTTCAAACATTTCACCTCCGTGCACGCACGCAGTGATCTACATCGGGACGCGTAGGCCGCCCCTGGCGTGAAGGGAGTGGAACTGCGTCGACACAAGCGCGGTCCAACAGGTCCCAGCGGGATTCAGAGGCAGTCAGGTCCCAGCTGGCTCTCCTGCAGTCCCGACCCTGGGACCCCGTAGGCTAGAAAGCTCTGGAAAGCCAAGCTGTGGGGCAAGGTCCCCAGAGGGCGGGTGTGGGGAAGGCACACGCAGTCCTCGCACCGCCTGGAGCCCCGCTTCCTCCCGCGGACGGAAGAGGCCCGAGACCTGTCACTCCTCGCGGGACAAAGTCCGGAGCCTTGCTGTGCTCTGCAGGGGATCCAAAACTTCAAGAATGATCTTAGGCGGAGAAACGGGTTAGGCATTTTCCACTGTCGGTTTTGAAAGTGGACGCATAGATGGCGGGGAAAATACTGACACAGAAAACTCAGGGTTTCTTTCTGGGGAATCGGACCCCGTCCTTTGCGCCTGCTCAGATGCTTGGCCCGCGCCTGCAACCCCAGGACCTGGAGCTCTGCAGAAGCTGAAGCTGGCACTGGTCGCGCCCCCTCCTCCTCCCGGGGCTGGGCCGCCCGATCCGGCCACCAGGGGGCGACTCCGGCCGCCGCCGAGAGGTGGCGCTCGTGACCAAGGGATCGGCCCGCAGAGCCCAGGCCCGGCTCTGGGTGGGCGCCCAGCTCCCCCTTATTACTTCCTTCCCACCAGCTGCAGATGATCCTGCATGTAAGGGCGTCAGGAAGGCTCAGCAAGGAACGGCACTCAAGCTGACAGACTTCATTCAGATTTAAAAGGAGAAGAGGGAAATCTTAAAGGGCTTCCGTTGCTTGCAGCTCTCCTGAGCCACCCTTGAGTTCATCTGGAAACTTGGGTTCCAAATGGCTGTGAGGAAGCCGCGGGGTTAAAGAGCTCTCAACTGTCATTCTCAGTGACAAAACCTGGATTAAAAATGGAGATTAAAAATGTAGAATCTAATAAGCCATAGTGCAAGTTCAGCACAGCTCTTAACAAGACACGAGGATTTGGTTTTTGGCTTGAAATGAGGAGAGAGCACCAGGAATCCTTTTACACCCTTTGGGTAATGAGTTCATTGCCAAGAAATAGAAACTGTTGCTGTCTTCCTTGCTCTGCAGCCTCACAGATCCCAGCATCTCCCTGGCTGGCGGAGCTGCACCCCCAGTTTATGCCTGAACTCCCCCAAAGATGGGCCGCAGACTGCAGCCACTGGACTGCCCTCTCACGAGACCATTCCAGTTACATTAAAATGAAATTTGCCTCCCTGAATTCTTTCAACTCAGCAACAAAACATGACAGCAAGAATTTTTGAGCATCTGCCATGTATTGGGCCCTGTTAGAATTTAGGAATAAAAAGATGAGATTTATGGGGTTTAGCTGGTCCCATGGACTTCACAGTCAAGTGGACACTTCTCTCCGTTGTGTCCACCCTAATGCCCCTAGGATTAGGCCACACTCCCACACTCCCGTCGGTGACTGCCGCACACACCCGCACACACCCGGAGGTGGCTTCGTGTCTTGGGAAGACAGGATTGAAATCTGCTCCCTCCACCCACTCACCCCTTCCTCTGCATCTCTGCAGACTTTTAACCCCACTTCTAGGGGAGGGCAGGGGAAGATCTGAAGACAATTACCCTTGATCCTCCCCTACCACAATCTTTGCTTCTTCAAGCTAAATACACCACAGAATTCAAACTGTGATTGCTGCGTTCTTGGAGAAAGAAGACTGGCTCAGAACAAGCTATGGAAAGCAGCTGTAAATACCTCTGCGGTGGGCAGATCCCATCCATCAGGCAGGATCTCTGAGGAGGAGCAGAGGCAGTGAGCAGGAGGAAGCCTGAGCCACGTGGGTTTTCCCGCAGAGACAAGCTCCCAAGCTTCAGATGATCAACCGGAAGTGAGGGTCAGGGCAAGAGAGGAATGGTGGATGTACTGCCTGCCTGGCTTCTCATCTTTCTGCATCCTAAGGCACAACAATAAATCATTCCCTGAGCAGGTTGGAAAGGAAGCAGAAGAAAGTGTATTCTGTACTGATTGGCAAAAGTTGAGACTTAAAGAGAGAGACAGAGAAAGGAAGAAGAAGAGAAGAAAAGCTAAGATAAAAATCATTCCAGCGTACAGAGCTGGAGTTTATAATGCAAAGAGACAGTTGCATTAAAGGATTAGGCCCCACAGTCTGATTAACATCATTTGATCTTTAGCTATTGAAGAGACTCTGCATTTTCAAAGGCTTTTTAAATAAAACCAGGAGTCTGGGTTAGCAGAGAACTGTTAGGAGAGAAAGCAACTCTTTCTTTTTTAATTTTTTTTAATTTTGTTTTCATTTTGTCCCACCTCCTTCACAATGTTTAGTTTCTTCTCTGTCAATAGGGGCTGCATCTAAATCTGAAAATCTGGGCTCTGGTAGATTTGCTAGGCTAAGAACAAACACATACAAATAAATCGCGATCTAAATTGGGCAGCTGAGCGATGCCCCTCGAGTATCTTCGCTGGGAGCTTCCTTTTGTTTTGTTCGGATTTTATGTTTAAACCTTTAGTCTCCCTCCTCTCGGCGATTTAGCCAGCAATCTTCATGTGGCTTTTGTGTGCTCCACTGTGGTGAGCATGGCGGTTCCCTTTCTGTCTCCTGAGTTTCATAGAGATCTGCAGGAAACCCATTTTTCTGTGAGCAAACTCGGGGCAGCGTACGGTTGGGGGTGGAAGCCTCGCTACATCGACGTTGTCATCTCGGGTGGCCGGGCTTCTGTCCTTCCGAGGACCACGGCGGAGAATGGGCCAGTCTCTGTGGCCCGTTCAGCCCGGGTGTCACTGCCAGGCCGGGCAACAAAGGGCCACTGTGATCTGCCGCTTTCCCCGCAGTGAGAGGACAGGCACAGACCAGCACCCAGCCCATTTCTCTCCTCCTGTGCACAAGTGAGACCATGAATGGAAACAAGTCCGTGGCAGAAATCCCACATCCTGCTGCACTCAGCTGGGGCACTCGTCCAGCGGGCCAGTCCCTTCTCAAGTTGGGGACCCCAGTCCTGTTTGTTTTGAAGTACAGTTAGCTCAAGCGGTAACACATCATCCTCATGACAGCCTACAAAAGTTAGAGGTCAGTTAAAGAAACATTTGGCCTGCAGTGTAATTCAGACAACTGAAAGCAGAGTAAAAGTGGAACTCCATAAATGAAAAAGACAAATTGGAGTACGCACTAATGAGCTCTTGTGAGGCCACAGCGATAGTTAAATGACTGAATCCAAGCACATAAATCGGAGTTTTCAGCTACAAAAGGGAATTATTTGACCCAGGTTCAAATTTTCAGTATGCAACCAGAAGTCTTGCTAAGGACCAAGACAATGACAGCTACGACACTGATTTAAAAAGCAGCAGAAGGCAGATGAGCTGTTTAGGAACCAAGTGAAATTGGAGATATTTATCATGGGCTTGTCGTTGGTAAAAGTCAGAAAACATTTTTAACCATCAGATAAAATGATCCTTTGACACATTTCCATTGGGAGTGTGGCATGATTTCATTTATTTAAATTGCTTTCTTCAGTACTACAAATTACAATAATGGGATATTGCATCTAAGTGTGAATGTGACATTCAAACAAATGATGGTATTCTGCGCTGCTGGAGGGAATAGGATGTTTCAACGGGGTCCACGGTTTTGGAAAGCAGTTTGACAGAATCTTAGCCATAGTTTTCTTCATTGACTCAGCTGTATTAATTCTTTAAATATATTTTATATGTATATATGGTAAACAAGATTTTCTTTGGAGAATTAGGTAATCAGAAGAAATGCTGCAGTTAAACTATATATGTCAGTGAAATTTGGGGTAATTTATGCTTTACTATGAGCATCAGAAAAGTGACTTCCTTCTCAGTTTATTATTCATTAGCGAAGCCTTTTCAAAAAGAATAGTTGCTCTAGTAACTATGTATAGCTCTTATAAACAATGATTTAATTATTACCTTTTAATCTTATTTTATAGTGAACATATAAGAGTATAAAAATTTTTGATTTTTTTAAAAAGGCATTTTCTGATTTAAGGTCACTGATAGCACTCCTTTTATAAACTGGAAAAATGAATTTTCTCCTTTTTTTTCTCATTCCATATATTATTTGATATAAATGTATCTTGTCTTTTTAGATTTTTCATTTCTCAACCAAGTCACCCTATTATTTCTAGTATTTTGTTATATTGAACACCACAGCACAAATAAAAGTTACTGTCTGTTTGGAAAAATGTAAAACATTTGTTATGTCCTTTATGAGTTGAGGTAATCAAAGCTGAAAGTAGTAGTCAGGAAAAGGCTTGAGATAATTTCAGTATAATGTTCTCACTACTTTTTATATTCTGTCCTCAATACGGTTTAAATTTTATTTATCTATCCTTGAACTGCTTTTGCACACTGGACAAATGTTTTTGCCTGGAGCTGGTGCTGCTAATTCAGGACCATGAGTTGAATTGCAGTTAAATTGTTCCTTGCAATGTGCATTATTATGTACTTCTATTTGGAGAATTTCAGATAATGATGAGAACTTTCTGAAGATATTGCTGAATGTCACTAATTCATCAGTTTGATGATGAGTTATTGTGTTACAGGGGAGCACTTATCCAAAATCGGCTCATCCGGTGCACTGGTTCACCCAGACTTCTGTCCTTGAGACAGTCCAGCCTGGTATGATGCTCAGCCCTCAGTATATCCACTTCTCCTCTCACCTGCTCTCACCAAAGATCGATGTGGCTGTTACAAGTGAAAATTCTGACTTCCACAGCTGAAGAGAAAATACTCCATATTAACAGAAAGAAGCATTAGTTGCAAAAGTAAATATAATCTAACATGGGGTTTTGCTTTCTCGTCTATAATGTGGAAAATTAGAAGGCAGTGAAAAAATGTCTTTATTCTTTTTTTAAAAACCTTTCTCAGTATGGCCTAATCTACAAGCTTAAAAGGAGAGGCCTGTAACCCAAGAATTTTAAGCAGCAATGTTCATCACAGAAGGTAAATAAGTAACATTTTCTAAGCATTCATCATGTACTGCAAATTAATCTTAGGAAAGAAAGAATTTAGGGATGTACTTAATCACCTGACTACTAATTCAGAACAGAGTTAAGATAGGGGAAGAAAGAAAAAAAATAGTACATGATAAGTTTTGCAGAATGTGGTTAAATTTAAATGGACATTTGAAATAGAGATGATATGAAATTCTTATCACATCTGAGGTTATGCTCTAGGGGAAAATGTAATAAAAATAGAAGCTTTTAAACTATGTATCACACAACTAGGTGGGTTAATATGAGAGGTTGGGTTCTCAGAAAAAATGTACAGAATTTTCATTTCATTTTTAAATTGGATTGTTTTATACTTTTTTGTATTCCTTAAATATTCTGGATGTTAATCCTTTGGTAAATATTGGTAAATACTTTCTCCCATTCTGTTAAGTTTCCTCACTCCGTTGATTGTTTTCATTGTCATGAAGAAGATTTTTATTTTGCTGTAATCCTATTTGTCCATTTTTTTCCCTTGTTTCCCATGCTTTTTGGGGGTCTGTGTAAAATATCTCAGTC